AATCTGCAGGTCTGGGCTTTACTAGAGGAACTAGATTTTACTAAGTATCTGGTTAATTACAATGTATTCATCTTTTGGCTGATGTTGACATTTTGAGCTCCAATGATCATCAATATCTAAAAGCCTATTTTGTACTTTCACAAACGTTTGTCGGAGCTGTCTGGTTTAGTCAACAACGCCTTGTCTCTTGTTCCTGCCTATGTCTCCATCCATCCCCTTGTTGCTGTTCCTCTGCCCACTAACTCTCTACTCACTCTCTCACTGAACAATCTCTTTGTTCATACAGCAAATTAATTTCACCGACTTCTTCTCCTCCTTGGTCATCAAAGGACAGCGGTGCTTCTCAGGTGATGGGAGGAGTTTCAAAGCTTTGGCAGCCATTTCTCAGTTATTGTTGACTTCTGAGTCACAATAAACAGTTCTAAACCAAATGAATTATCTTTACCCTTCCTGATCCTGAATCAGTCTGTGGCGTCCATTTAATCTATTTTATTGTGCTCAAGCTCTGATGGCTTTAATTGGATGAATGTTAAGCCTCGTGACAACAAATTCTGCAAATCAAATGGCAACGCAACTGGTTGCATTTTTCTTCTTGAACAGTTTTATTATATAAATGTTTATGAAGAAAACCCAAAACATTCAAAATAAGAAAAATGGAAAACTTTTTTTTTCAGGTCTGCCGGTAACATATGCTTTAAACATCTCTGGTTTATTTTCGTTTTGAAAAAAACATTTGCTTAATTTTCAGAATTTGAATATTTTTTTGGTCGATCAATAAAACTCTATATTAATAAATTTTGTAAACAAGAATTCTTGGAAAATACCAACATGCACACTGACAGTTTGAAATTGTGTCTCTCATTACTAATCAAGTAAACAAATCTGTATAATGTGCAGTAATATTTGTAAACATGACAAGAAATTACATCCAACAATAAAAGGTCTTACTCTAATAATGCAAGGAGGTAAACTAAAGGTTAGAGTTTTCCCTGCCTTGATTTATCAAGGTGGGCTGCCTGAAGGGTTTCTCCTCTCAAAGACACAGTTGGAACACCAAACACTGAAGACATTAGCCGTAGCAGCGACCACAAAAGCAATAAAAACAACCAGATATGCCGCTGCACGTGTTTGGTTCGGTTTGGCTTGAGCAACGCTCACCGCTCACACCGTCACACTTCCAAAACCAGGAGGGAGGAGAGAGAGAGAGAGAGAGAGAGAGAGAGAGAGAGAGAGAGAGAGAGAGAGAGAGAGAGTTTTCAGACTCATGTTTTATCACTGAATGAGAGAATCAGCTGAAACTGTTGAGGGAGAATTGTTCTGACTAAATCAAGGGTCACACGGTGATGTTTGAGAAGTGAAACAAAGTTTATAGGATTAACAGAAAGGGTTCAATAATTGTTTAAACACAAACAGACAGGCGCATAAATTTAGCCGCTGCTGTCATTTTATTAATTCCAACACCTTTATAACTAATTATTGGAACTCTAAATTGGTTTGGTAAGCTCAGTGACCCTTGACCTCTATACACAGGTGATTCCAGTAATGAGTATTTATGGGGGTCATTTGAAAGATTCCCTCCTCTTTGAATATTCTCTGAAGCGTAGCATCATGGGGTCTCAAAACAACTCTCACATGGGCTGAAAACAAAGATTGTTCACCATCATGGTTTGGGGAAGGATACAGAAAGCTGTCTCAGAGAGTTCAGCTGTTCCACAGTGAGGAACATATGGAGGAAATGGAAGACCACAGGCACAGTTCAAGTTAAGGCTCTCAGGCTCAAAATACGTTTTGATAAAAGGACGAACAAATAAGTCCTTCAGGGGTACATGCTCATGAAATCCGTATGTGGAGTAACCAGGTAGGTAGGTTTTAACGTTGCAAATCTGCATCGCCTGCCTCCAGAGGGTTAAGGCTCCAAGTGGTAGAACAAGAAAAATCTCAGATAAGCAGAAGTGAAGAATGGTGAGAACAGTCAGAGTCACCCCACAGACCAGTACCAAACACCTACAATCCTGCTGCAGATGGAGTCACTGGGCATCGTTCAACTATTCAGCACACTTTACACAAGGAGATGCTGCGTGTGAGAGTGATGCAGAGGAAGCCTTTTCTCCACCCACAGCACAAACAGCTGCTTGAGGTCTGCTGAAGCACATCTGGACAAGCAGCTTCATTCTGGAATAAGGTGTTGAGGACTGACGAAACTGAGTTATTTGGGCATCACAAGGGGCGTTATGCATGGAGGAAAAAGAACACTTGCTACCTACAGTAAAACATGGTGGTGGTTCCATCATGCTGTGGGCTGTGTGGCCACTGCAGGGACTGGGAATCTTGTTAAAGTTGAGGGACGCATGGATTCCACTCAAGATCAGCAGATTCTGGAGACCGATGTCCAGGAGTCAGTGACAAAGCTGAAGCTGCACCGGGGCTGGATCTTTCAACAAGACAACGACCCTAAACACTGCTCAGAATATGCATAGGCACTCATGCAGAGGAACAAGTAGAACATTCTGGAATGGGCATCTCAGTCCCCAGACCTGAATATTACTGACAAGTTGTGGTGCCAGAAGCCATTGGACCTGAATGAACTAGAGATGTTTTTTAAAGAAGAATTGTCCAAAATACCTTCAACCAGAATCCAGACTCACTGGAAGATGCAGGAAAAGTTTAGAGGCTGTTGTTTCTGCAAAAGGAGGAGGATCTACTAAATAATCAGTTAAATTATTTGTTGTGGTGCTCAGATGTACACACCTGGCTAATTTTGTTTAAACAATTGTTGAACACTTTCTGTAAATCCTATAAACAGTTTAATTTCTCAAATATCGCTGTGTGTCTCCTATATGAGATATTTAACTGACATTTTTTATCATAACAACCAACAATTTATACAGGAAAATCATAAAGATTAACGAGGCCACCCAAACTTTCACATCCCACAATGCTGAAGACAGGTTGAGGTTTCTCAGAGCTCAAGATGTAGGTGGTTTCTTTACTCTGAAGTGTAACAACTGAAAGTTTAACAAATAACTGAATAATTTAGAAAGTGCTTGGTTCATTCTTTGTCTTTAAACCTTTTATAAATCTAATGATGTGTCTGCAGCCTTTGGTAGCTGTTGGTTTGAGTCTTCAGCCATCTTCTGTAGTGGAAATCATTCCATGGGCTCATAAACACTTCTGAATGCAGTTCCTGCTGCATCCACAAATACAAATGAAAAGTTCCTGTCGTTCAGTAAATAAATAAGTAAATAGTTCTGATTTTCTGAATCCAATGTGAATGCGTAAAAGTAAAAACTGGAAAGTGAGTTAAAACTTTTATTTTTACAATTGATTGATGCTGCTTTAATTCTACTAAAAAGCAGAGAGATGCTTCAGGTAAGAAGAGCTGACATCATGTTCTTTATGGAGGAACAGAATATGAGTCACTTCCACCTCTGTGAAGGAACGATTAATAGCAAACATTTGTTTACTGTTGAGCAGGGGTCACCAACATGGTGCTCACGGGAACCAGCCGCGTAGGTTCTGTTGGTGCAGCAGGGCCGCGAGCCTCAGAGCCCCCATAGCAGGCCCCTCCAGGGCCAGAGAGAGAGAGATGATGACGCATCTCAACTCAGACAGCGTGGTGGACACATTAATATATACACTCACTGGCCACTTTATTGGGTACATCTTGCTAGCACCAGGTTGGACCTCTTTTACCTTCAGAACTGTCTCAGTCCTTTGTGGCATGGATTCAACAAGGTACCGAAACATTCCTCAGAGACTTTGGTCCGCATTGACATGACAGCATCAGCAGTTGCTGCAGATTTGTCGGCTGCACATCCATGATGCCAGTCTCCTGTTCCACCACATCCCAAAGGTGCTCTATTGATTGAGATCTGGTGACTGGAGGCCATCTGAGTACATGTTCAAGAAACCAGTCTGAGATGATTCAAGCTTTATGACATGGTGCATTATCCTGCTGGAGGTAGCCATCAGAAGATAGGTAGACTGTGGTCATAAGGGGATGGGCATGGTCAGCAACAATATTCAGGAAAGCTGTGGCGTTGCAACGATGATCAATTAGTACCAAGGGGCCCAAAGTGTGTCATGAAAAAGTCCCCCACACCATTACACCACACCCACCAGCCTGAACCGCTGTAACAAGACAGGATGGATAATTCTTTCATGTTGCTGACGCCAAATTCTGACCCCACCATCTGAATGTCGCAGCAGAAATTAAGACTCATCAGACCAGGCAACATTTTTCCAATCTTCTATGGTCCAATTTTGGTGAGCCCGTGTATCAACAAGACATTTTCACCCACAGAACTGCTGCTCACTGGATGTTTCTGATTTTTCGGACCATTCTCTGTGCACCCTAGAGATGGTTGTGTGTGACAATCCCAGAAGATCAGCAGGTTCTGACATACTCAGACCAGCCCGTCTGGTACTAACAACCACGCCACGTTCAAAGTCACTTTAATCACCTTTCTTCCCCATTCTGAAGCTCAGTTTGAACTGCAGCGGATCGTCTCGACCGTGTCTACATGCCTAAATGCATTGACTCGCCACCATGTGATTGGCTGATTAGTAATTTGTGTAAATGAGTAGCTGGACAGGTGTAACTCAATAAAGTGGCCAGTGAGTGTATATTAATAGACCTGATGACCCGTTTCTGTATTTCACACTGTAAGATTTTATAGTTAAAAGCCCCTCATCAAGCAAAAATATGGATACAGTTTTAAAGTTCAGATAAACACTGACACTGTCTCTTGTGATGTTTGGTGTAAATTGGTACATTATAAATTAAACATACTGAATTTAGTTAAATATTATATCATTGATATTGGTCTCACCTAATTCTAAACCATCAGATATGCTGTTTTTCCACAGACTTTTATAAATCCGTTGGTATTCCTACTTTCTTGTCTCCCATTCAGTTATGGAATAAATTCAGTAGTGGTCTGGTCAGATCTGAGGCTGTGAAGGGGTTTTAACCTATTTGCTTCTTTTCCTTTCCATAGAGGGATCCCAGGAAGAAAATGTGGGACCATCATAGTGAGGGCAGAAGAGCTGAGCAACTGCAGGGTATGAGTCTGTTTCATCCCTCTTTCTGCCAGCTTCTCTTGACTTTTACTGTCAAGGTTTCATGCCTCCCCATCTGTCCACTCAGCTCAGACCTAAACTCCCGAGTGAGTGAACACAGGGTCAGTCATGCTATCAATCTATCGACAGAGCATGTGTCACCAACAGGTTTGTATGGGTGTTACTAACATGTGCAAAGGTGAACTTTGAACTAGTAAAGAAATGGGCTTTAGAGTAAATCTGCAGAAACACAATCCTGGAAAGCTTTCCAAGCTCCCTTTATTGTATTTTATTTGTTTACCTCAGGAAGTCAGGGGCCTTTTAACTCAGCTAGCCCTTCAGGAAAACATCTTTTATTCCAGCTGTGAGCAAGATCCAGAGCATGGATTCATGCCTGAGACTGTTAATGTGTCTATATAAATGGGGCTTTATGTCTTTTCAAACCCTTTTTTCTCCCAAAGGGGCAATAATCCCTTCAAGCAGGCAAACAAATAAAAAATAAATAAATCAGCGTTGTGGTTTTGACCGCTGCAGGTGACTTTTTACTTTTAGAGGCCACTGATATTTCACTTCTTTGGGATTCAGTGAAGAAATGCAGCCATAATGAAACCATTCAAGCAACTAATAATAAAATGGCCTGTATTTGATCTTCTATAGTCATGGAACCCCCCAAGACGCTTTACAACATAATCAGTCGTTCACCCATTCACACACACATTCACACCCTGGTGGGGATGAGCTACAATGTAGCCACAGCTGGTGCACTGACAGAGGCGAGGCTGCCGAGCACTGGCACCGGTCCCTCCGACAAACCACCAGCAGGCAAGGTGGGTTAATGTCTTGCCCAAGGACACAACGACAGTGGGCGGGACTCGAACCAACAACCTTCCGATTACGGGGCAAGCACTTAACTCCTGTGCCACGGCCACCCCAATAAAAGCAATAAAACCACTGTTTAAATAAGCACAGCATTACGGTGACTTTATGTTGTGCTGCCAGAGAGGCTGTCTTCATGAGAACTTTATTATCTGAGTTTAAAATAAAGTCCCATGCCAGACTCAGTCCGCCTGAAAGCAAAACCAGTCTTCTCACTCTTAAATATGGAACTGTTGCTTCCTTAGCCATTACAACCGTCTCATCTGTTAGTCCGCTCTAACCAGTAGCCAGTACCAGATTGTAGATGCAACATGGAGATCAGACTTTACCAACTTACCTCAGAAAGCCAAGACCTGTGTGTGTTGTGACTGTTTTCTTCTGATTTAGGAGTCGGTTATGTTGCAGTTTTGTGGCAACAAGCTGGATAAGAAGGATTTCTTTGGAAAATCGGATCCATTTCTAGTTTTCTTCCGCAGTAATGAAGACGGATCGTAAGTTCCCTTTAATGATGTGAAGATATGAGAATATGAGGATTTCTTGATTTCACACACACACACACACACACACACACACACACACACACACACACACACACACACACACACACACACACACACACACACACACACACACACACACACACACACACACACACACACACACACACGCACACTCACACACACACACACACAGACTCTGAGCGTGATTGCGTGATGCTCCAGAAGCTCCCATGCAGAGGGTATTGCATCTAAGCTGTGTGATGTTGCATGATGCTTGGTGATGTATATGTGACATGCCCCCGTCCCTCATCAGTAGATGACCAGATAAAACAGGACAGAGCTGACAAGAGGAAAATCAAGAGGGGTTGACAGATAAGATGGAATTAAGTGAAAACTTTGTGTGGAGGTCACAGCTTCTCTGCCCCGCAGATGCTTTTATTCAAGTTGACTTCAACATCTCACACTTAACACATTCTCTTCAGTGCAGCTGGGTATTTACTGATGCAGCTTAAATGATGTGCTGCGGGGCATAAAAGCAGCGCCTGCCGTAACAAAGAGCCAGTAGAGATGCCACATGAAAGAAACAGGAAGTAGTTATTTTTACGTTACACTGTGAGCTCGCTGGACACACTTGTGTTATGAAATTGTGGGATATTTTTGTTGTCTGTTAACACTCCTGTATGTCTCACAGGTATACTATCTGCCACAAAACAGAGGTGGTGAAGAACACTCTGGATCCAGTGTGGCAGGCTTTTAAAATTCCTGTCAGGGCGCTGTGCAATGGAGACTATGACAGGTACATCGCAGCACAGCAGGAAGCCGACACACACAAACCTTCAGAAACGGTTTCCTGATAATTGGGTGGAATTATAGTGGATTCACATTTGGTGTATATTTTATACAGTTTTATATTTTGACAGCAAGATAAGACATCTGATGCGCCTCAATGTGCTGACAGTAAAGAAGTAAAACTTAAGTAAAACTACAAAACAATAGATGTGGTACTTTCATTTAGCATCAAGACTCCACTAGAGAGCTTCAGTCAGCTCAGCTTGTTTCAGCGGTGCACGGACAGACGGCTGCTCTGACCTGCTGGCATCAACACTTCATTTAATTCATGTTAACCCTCGCACTGTCGGGTTACCCCGAGGAAAGTTGACCATTGAGCAGGGTTGATGGTTTATCCCTTGAGGTCCACGTGGCAGGGGTGAGGTGGTGCTCACTCCTCACCCCTGCCACATGGACCCAACGGATAAATCATCAACAGATGATGCTGTTTGTTTTATAATGATTGATATAATCACCAGATGTGTGTTTTGTACATCTTTATCTTATTAATACCCTGGAAAAATGTGCATTTGTTTTAGGATGAACAGTTTTTAATCTCACAAAACTAAATGTCCAACCAAGTATTTTGACTTCCCAGTAAAACACTCAGGTTTTAGGACTGTTACTGGTTCTATATCCAAATAACCCAGTTCCACAGTCAGCTTATTATTTATGTCAAGTTGGGGGTTTTCTCTTAGATAAAGTGAACGTGAACAGAAAACTGACATTTTCATTGGTCGTTGGCCTCCCTAAGCCAGCCTCTTGCTCCTGACTGAAGTGATTCATCCCCCATGTCCAGAGGAGAGTTTGTGTCTTATTACCTGCTGGCTGATGGGAAACCAAAGACAACAATGGAGATGGAGACCTGAGTGTCATCCTACTACTGACCCAACACTGATCAGGATCTGATTCCCATTGGAGGACGTCCCTGACAAAACGTTACACACACTTAAGCCTGATTTATGCTTCTCCGTCGGCGTCAGTGCAGAGACACGCAACGCCATTATCTGTCCTTGCGTAGGGCTCCGGCAGGCACGCAAGTACGTACGGAGTCGAGCCCACTTTTTTAAACATCCGTCAAACGAGACGGATTACGCAAGCTTGTGATTGGTCAGGATGCCGCTGTTGTTTACAGCGCCGCCATTGCAAAGAGAGCCGAGGATTACTAGCGGCAGACACAGAGAAGCTTGAAGAATACCTTGTGAAAAAACTCTAAAAATATGAACGATTAATCCTCCCGTGACTGGAGGAGTGAAAAGCGTTTTATTTGTGGACAGAAATGACAGGAAATGTGGGTTTAGAGGTGGGGAGCGCACGAAGAGGTGGGAGAATGAGAGACAAATATGTCCGTGTTAAAAGTCTCTTATATACACAAAACACAATATAAACACACTATCTTGGACTGATACATGACAGGATACCACAGAACAGCGCTACGCCTCTGTGGTCCTGCTGGGCAATTGCTTTGCAACACTCCCCAGGAGACGGAGAAGTATGAGAGTTAAACGTTTCCGTCAATCCGTGCGTGTCGGTCCCTTGCGGAGCTGACGGAGAAGCATAAACCAGCCTTAAGTTCATTTGTCCCTTGGCCAACCCGTACACATCCAGAGGTTAGCTTTTCGTACCAGCTGAGAGCAGAATGATACCGCGTTCCACTTGTGCACCATATGCCCATACCCCATCTGCACATAGGCCTGTCAGCACTGCTTGTCACACCCTGTCCTGTCTCCCCATTCTGTTCAGCTATGTGTCTCTGTTAATTGCTCCCACCTGCCTCTCGTTTTCCAATCACCCAAGCTCCCAGCCCTCTTGTATTTAAACCCTCTCAGTTCTGTGTCTCTTGTTGGCTCATTGTTTTCATGTCCTGCGTGCGTTTATCATTAAAACCCTTTTACGTTTTCCAGTTTGTCTGCCTGCCTGCTTCCTCCCCAGCATTTGGATCCTCACCTTCGTTCCACTCACCAGCGCGCCTGACAGAATGAGCCAACCCACAGAAGGATCCAGCGGGGAGGTTATCCCTTGGGAGAACCTGCTCCAGTTTCTCGCCACGGACCACCGGCCGGCTCCTCTTCCTCTGGCATCGCCTCGCCGCAAACGCCACCGCCGAGCCCGGGGCCTCAGCGATCCTCTCCACCCTCCCGGAGCCGGATGGAGACTTGGACGGGGAGGCGCAGATGGACCGCTCCTGCTATGTGGGCACCAGACTGGCTGTGTGCTCCCCCGGGGTTGGTCCACAGCGTTGGGAAGGATGCCGGGCTCCACCGTCACCCCTTGCCCCAGGACGGAGCCGCGAGCTCGCCGCTGCCCCTGCCCGGCGCGCCAGCTTGGACCCGCTCCCAGTCAGACCAGCAGTCCTGTCTCCGGTCCAATCAGCACCTCCATCATCTGCAGGCGGAGGAACCACGCCTACAGCCCAGCTGACAGAGCTCGCCGGTCTCCAGATGGAGCTTGGTCGGATCCGTCAGCTCGTCAGCCTCCGGGAGTTCCAGCTGGACACCCTATCCTCCTCGTATCTCCAGGAGAAGGTTTCTGTCCAGCCAGCGGCACCGCCTCCAGTCCAGTCAGCAGCTCTCTCGTCTCCAGGCCAAAGGACCGAGCTCGCATCCCATCCAACAGAGCTCCGCCCCCACTCCAGAAGTCGGTGGTCCAGAAGTCGAAGGTTCCGGTCCAGAAGTTGACGGTACCGGTCCAAAAGTCGACGGTTCCGGTCCAAAAGTCGACGGTCCAGGTCCAAAAGTCGGTGGTCCAGGTCCAAAAGTCGGCTGTCCAGAAGTCGGGGGTCCAGAAGTCGGCGGTCCAGAAGCCGGCACCTCCGGACCAGAATCCGACAGAGGTCAACGCTCCTTCCCGTCCAGCGGTCGACGCTCCTTCCCGTTCAGAGGTCGACGCTCCTTCCAGTCCAGAGGTCGACGCTCCTTCCAGTCCAGAGGTCGACGCTCCTTCCAGTCCAGAGGTCGATGCTCCTTCCAGTCCAGAGGTCGACGCCTCCTCGTGTCCAGAAGTCGACGCCTCCTCGTGTCCAGAAGTTGACGCCTCCTCGTGTCCAGAAGTCGACGCCTACACTCCAGAGGTCGACGCCTCCACTCCAGAAGTCGACGCCTCCACTCCAGAGGTCGACGCCCCTTCCACTCCAGAGGTCGACGCCCCTTCCACTCCAGAGGTCGACGCCCCTTCCGGTCCTGTGGTCGACGCCCCTTTCGGCCCTGAGATCGACGTCCCCTCCAGCCCTGAGGTCGACGTCCCCTCCGGCCTTGAAGTCAACGTCCCCTCCGGCCCTGAAGTTGACGTCCCCTCCGGCCCAACATCTCCCCCTCCAGTCCAGAGGCCGATGTCTCCCCCTCCAGTCCAGTGGTCGACGTCTCCCCCTCCAGTCCAGTGGTCGACGTCTCCCCCTCCAGTCCAGTGGTCGACGTCTCCTCCTCCACTCCAGTGGTCGACGTCTCCTCCTCCACTCCAGTGGTCGACGTCTCCTCCTCCAGTCCAGTGGTCGACGCCGACCCCAGTCCAGTGGTCGACGCCGACCCCAGTCCAGTGGTCGACGCTGTCCCCAGTCCAGTGGTCGACGCCGCCTCCAGTCCAGTGGTCGACGACGCCGCCTCCAGTCCAGTGGCCGACGCCGACGCCTCCAGCCCAGTGGCCGACGCCGCTGCCTCCAGCCCAGAAGTCAAGCACATCTCCTCCGGCGTCTCTGCCTCCGGTCACCGCCAGTCCTGCCCTCACCAGGCACGGGCCCCCAAGAGCCCGTCGGCACCTCCTCCTCTGCCAAAGACGCAGGCCCCCAAGAGCCCATCGTCGCTTCCTCCTCTGCCACAGACGCAGGCCCCCCTAGAGCCTGTCGTTGCCTCCTCCTCTGCCCCAGACGCAGGCCCCCGGACTATACTGGTCCCTGCCTCCTCTTCATCGGTCCCTCGGTCCCTCTTGGCCCTCCCTCTGGGTCCCCCTCCTCCCGCCCTGCTCTGTGTTCCTATGGGCATCTGGGATCCGCCCTTTGAAGGGGGGGGGGGGGGGGGGGGGGGGGGGGGGCACTGTCACACCCTGTCCTGTCTCCCCATTCTGTTCAGCCATGTGTCTCTGTTAATTGCTCCCACCTGCCTCTCGTTTTCCAATCTCCCAAGCTCCCAGCCCTCTTTTATTTAAACCCCTCCAGTTCTGTGTCTCTTGTTGGCTCATTGTTTTCATGTCCTGCGTGCGTTTATCATTAAAACCCTTTGACGTTTTCCAGTTTGTCTGCCTGCCTGCTTCCTCCCCAGCATTTGGATTCTCACCTCCGTTCCACTCACCAGCGCGCCTGACACTGCTCATATCAAGTTTGAGTGGGATTATCTGAGTGTCTCCTTTTATGTGTTTCTATTGCTGATTAACTATGAAGCGGAATAAATTTTTAGTTTGTTATGCAGTCCTCAGAATGACACTTTTTACTGAGCATTTCCTTTTTTTCGTGTCCTGTCTGGCTGTGAAGCAAACAGAATTGATGTCTGAATGCTGGTAACAAGCCTTACAGATTTACTCTCAGGTGGAGCATCAAAGCGTCTGCTTTTAATGTCACGCCTGATACTTAAAACTTTATTGTTATTGTTTTTGAATGCTTTGTAATTCCGACCAGACACGGAGACAGAGGTGAAAGAGAAAGGAAGAGACAAAAGGTGGGGGAGGGGGTGTTCCACAAAAATAAACAATGAACAAGAGTCTGCTTCTAGACCTGCAGAAAGAGAGAGAGAAAAAAAATGGGACACAACAACAATACAACAAGATCAAACTATCACTGCGTCAACTTGATGAAGGAATATAAAATCAACATTGTTTTACTGAACAATCACACGATAATAAATCACAGTGCATTTAGTGCCCACCATAGTCTTAAGAACTGTGTTGAACGTGCCCAAGTCCATACTTATGAGAGCATTACTGAGCATTTCCTAATGAGATTATGTTGTGATGTCTTCTTTTTCTCTGCAGGAGCATTAAGGTTGAGGTATATGACTGGGACAGAGATGGAGGGTGAGCAACCTTTTACTGCATGTGTGTGACTCTTAGCGCTCTAGACTGTTTATTATAATCCATGCTGACATCTCCAAAGTTATTCATCCTTACAGAATTGTATATTTTGAACAGTAACTTCAGAAAAAGTGCTTTATGGTTTGAAATTTTAGGTTTCTGTGAATCCTAAAATACCCAGAGTTCATAACTTCCACCAGGAGGCTGGGTTTAGCTGTTTATCGTTCATTAAAGCCAAATCGAACACAAACGATTAAACAAACATGACTCTATCGAGCTAAAAGGGAGACTCAAAAGTGCCTTTTGGTGTTGCTAATTGCTAAAAGTTATTTGAGTTGTTTAAACTTCCTCCCACGATCAAAAGCCATTGGCGTCAGAATAATCTCATCGGCCCGACCTGGCAAACCGGGCCCGGCAGCGCCGAACCCGGCCCAGCCCAGCGGCTCCGAGCTTGACGTGGTTCTACCGGCCCGACCCAGTGGCACCTGGCCTGGCGTGGTTCCATCCGCCTGGCACGGCAGCGCCATAACCGGCGTGGTAACGCCGGCCCAGCCCAGCGGCACCGAGCTTGACGTGGTTCTACCGGCCCTATCCAGTGGCACCGGGCCCGGCGTGGTTCGATCCGCCTGGCCCGGCAGCGCCGAACCCAGCGTGGTTACGCCGGCCCAGCCCAGCGCACCGAGCCTGACGTGGTTCTACCGGCCCGGCCCAGCGGTACCGGGCCTGACGCGGTTCCATCGGCCCAGCCCAGTTCCGCCGACGGGGCCTAACAACACCGACTCCGGCGGGGTCCTGCTGAGCCAGGCCCAACAACATTCATCGCGTCGCGGTGAGCACGGAACCAGAGGACGACGGTTGCAGGTGAGAGGAAGAGATGCCAGGAGGAAGAGCCGGTGGACGAGGTAAAGAAATGGCCACAGAAGACCTGGAGGAGATCAAACGATCTCTGAACTTTATGTCAGGTGAACTGTCAAAAGTAACATCGCAGCAGGATCGATTATTGAGACTGATGGAGGAGGTGAAGGAGCTTAAAATACTGTTAACTGAAAAAGATAAGAAGATTTCAGCCTTGGAGCAAAGAGTTGATGAACTTGAACAATATACAAGACGAGAGGATTTGGTGATAATGGGACTAGAAACCCGACACAGAAGCTACGCAAAAGCAGTAGCAAATCATGACTCAGCAGAAGAGGCTTCAGACAAAGAACTTGAGACACTAGAGCAGCAAGTTGTTACTTTTCTGCACAGCAAGAACATAACTATTCAAAGAGATGCTATTTCAATATGTCATGCACTGCCAAAAAAATTTGAGAAAGCTAAACCAACTATTATTGTAAGGTTTACCAGCAGAAAACAAAGAAACAGCGTTCTGTTACAAGCAAACAAGCGTAGAGGCACCAATGTGTACATAAATGAACATTTAACCAAAAAAAATGGAACAATAGCTGGAGAGGCACGGATGCTAAAAAAGCAGAAAAAAATTGTAGCTACATGGACAAGGAACGGGAGTGTATGGATCAGAGAACAAGAAGGGTCACAGGCTAAGATAATAAAGGAGCTGGGAGAACTGGAAAAATTTAATTAACAGTGAAAGTTGGAAGAGGGATGTAGAATCAAGTAAAATCTCATATAACATCACATAAATTAAGTACAAGTAAACCACAACACAAGCATATGGACATAACAACAAATACTTATGAGGAACTAGAATACAAGATATATGACCCTGGAAAGGAACTAGAAAATAATTTGTACACACATATGAATAATAAATGTGAATATTTTAGTGAACAAGAACTAAGGGATTCAGTTTTGACAGAAGGTACACTCTCGATCATTCACTTCAATAGTAGAAGTTTGTATTGCAATTACTCTAAAATATTGGATTATTTAACACAAAATAAAAAACCATTTCAAATCATTGCTATAACAGAAACATGGTTAAAAGAAGGAGATGAGGAGGAGGTACAAATAGAGGGGTATGAAATGTACTTTATGAATCGGAATAATAAAAGAGGGGGTGGTGTTGCACTGTATGTATGTCACAATTTAAAAAGTAAAGTCATTCATAACATGTCAACAGCCATCCAAGATGTACTGGAAATGATCACTATTGAAATAATCTCTGAAAAGACAAAAAACATAATAATAAGTTGTATCTATAGAGCACCTGGATCTTGTGTAGAAACATGTACAAATACAATTACTGAGATGTTGAGTGGAATCTGTAACAAGGATGTATTTCTCTGTGGGGACTTTAATGTTGACCTGGAAAATGTAAACAATTCAAAGACAGCAAACGACTTCATAAATTCAATGTATCTACTGGGTCTGTTTCCACTGATAACCAAACCAACAAGAATTGATGTGCATAGCTCAACAATTATAGATAATATATTTACTAATGCTTCAGAAGGGATAGAGAGAAGTGGAATAGTGATGACTGATATCAGTGATCATCTGCCAATTTTCACAGTCTATAAAAATCACCAGATCAAAAATCAACAAAAAATGGAAAAACTTATAAGGGACAGGTCACAAAACGCTATAGACGCACTAAAAAGAGATCTGGAACAACAAAACTGGGAAGAAGTATATGTTGATGATGTAAACATGGCTTACAATTCTTTTATAGGAATATTATGTAGTCAATATGACAAAAACTGTAAAACAAAAACTCAAACACAAAGAGGGAGGATGAACAAACCATGGATGACAAAAGGGCTGCTGAATGCCTGTAGGAAAAAAAATACATTATATAGATGTTTTTTAAAACTAAGAACAAGTGAAGCAGAAAGGAAATACAAAAAATATAAGAATAAATTAGTTTCTATAATCAAAAGACAACAAAGGAATATTATAGCAATTTATTAGAAGAAAACAAAAATAATATTAGAGCAACTTGGGGAATAATAAATAATGTCATAAAAAGAGATCAAATAGCTTCAACTGTTCCAAATTATTTTGAAAACGGACAGTCTGAAATTAGTGAAACCAGTAAAATAGTAAATGAATTTAACAATTTTTTTTACTAATGTGGGACCTGACCTGGCAAAAAACATTCCAAAAAGAACAAATTATAGTATAGGTGAGAATATCAAAAGCAATAAAAACAGTATATATTTAAGTCCAGTAACTAGTGATGAAATAAGAAATATTATCAATAATTGCATCAATAAAAGAAGTACTGACTGTGATGGTTTAGACATAACATTAATAAAAAATATAATAGAAAGTATTATTCATCCATTGACTTACATATGTAATTTATCTTTTGCAACAGGGACATTTCCTAACAGGATGAAAATTGCAAAAGTCATACCACTTCATAAAAGTGGAGACAAACATATCTTTTCCAACTACAGACCAATATCTTTATTGTCACAATTCTCAAAAATATTAGAAAAATTATATATTGCCAGGTTGGACCGATTCCTGATCAATGAAGAGATATAAAATGACAGTCAGTATGGTTTTAGAACAAATCATTCAACATCCATGGCATTAATGGAATTAACAGAAGAAATATCGGAAGCCCTTGACAAAAAAAATCATCTCATAAGTATCTTTATTGATTTAAAAAATGCATTCGATACTGTGGATCATACAATTCTTATTAAAAAACTTTGTAAATATGGCATCAAAGGGATGGCCCTAAAATGGATAACAAGTTATCTTAACGATAGGCAGCAATATGTTCAAATAAACAACACAAAATCACATATAAATAACATTACTTGTGGTGTACCACAAGGGTCGGTATTGGGCCCTAAACGATTTATCATTTATATAAATGACATTGTTGAGGCATCCAATATATTAAAATGCACCTTATTTGCAGATGATACAACTTTTTACTATTCGGGAGATAATGTTGAGCAGATGATAGAAGTGATAAAAACAGAGATGAAAAAAATTAAACTATGGTTTGATGGAAACAAACTATCATTAAACAGTGATAAATCCTGTTTTATGATATTTAGTAATACAAATTCAAATGATGAAATTTTATTAAATATAGATGAGATTAATATTAAAAGAGTTCAAGAAGTCAAGTATCTGGGAGTCATCATTGATGAAAAACTGTCATGGAAACTAAATATAAACAGTGTCAAAACTAAAATATCTAAAACGATTGCACTGTTACATAGAGCAAAAGGGTTGCTTGATAATAATTCATTATATTTGTTATATAACTCACTGATCGTACCATACCTGAACTACTGCATTGAAATCTGGGGAACAACATATAAAACTTACACAAATTCCATTTACATCTTACAGAAAAAAGCAATAAGAATAATCACAAGGAGCAACTACAGAGATCCGTCTAATCCATTATTTATTAAATTAAAAACACTAAAATTCTATGATCTGGTGGACTACAATATTTTAAAATTTATGTATAATGCAAACAAAAGGAACGTACCTGCAGGATTAATTAAACGATTTTCAAAAAGACATAGCAAATATGATTTAAAGGGACATGAATTATTTAACATACCTAGACATCGGATACTCGTAAAGGAACATTGTGTCTCCATATATGGAGTTAAATTGTGGAATAAATTGAATACTGAACTCAAGAATGCAAAAACAATATTGACTTTCAAAAAAGAGATAAAAAAATAAAACGATTAACTTATATAGATCCGTTACATAAATGTGTGAGGGGAGGGGGGTGGGGGGGATTAAAGGAACAAAATATTAACCTAGTATGTGCTTGTATGTGTATATATGTATGTATATAGATCTGTAACTTAATGCTTCTTTCTGTGTAAATTGTTTTCTTTTTCTATTTTTTTCTCAAATTCATGGGTTGAGATTTTGTCGGCCAACAAGTCCAGGAACTATATTGTTCAATTTCCTTAAGAATCATATGATTATTTCATTTGTATTAATGCTATTTTAGTTAAAAGGGGCAGACAACATAAGTTTTTCTTCTTTCTGTCCCCTTTTTCATTTTGGCTTGCAGCAATTTAGTTCTGATTGTATTTTTATTTTAATGTCAATAAATGAAAATAAAAGATTTAAAAAAAAAATAGTGACTGTAAAATGTCCCTTGGTGTGAGTGTGTCACTGGTTGTTTGGCCCTGTGATGGACTGGATCAGTTTAGGAATTGAAATGAGATTAGATTTTGAGCTAAACTCCATTTTTAATTCCTGACTCAGATTTAAACTTCTGATGAAATGATAAAAACAGCACTGGTCAGGCGTCTGTATTCCAGTGCTGATTCTGCATGTTGTTCCATTCTTTTCTGTTTCAGTTGTATAAGTCCAGATGAATGCAACTCTTGTTCTCATTATTTTTATATTTCAGCCACGACTTCATTGGCGAGTTCAGCACCAGCTACAGAGAGATGTCTAGAAGCCAGTCCCAGTTCCACGTCTATGAGGTGATTATACTCACACCATTTAAAACATAAAAACCTTCTTCATTCTATAGATAAAAGCCAAAACTTACCCAGGAGTCGGAATGTCTATCATGAAAACCTACTTGTTTGTGACACCATTTTTATGTTTACCATTGGTGCCATAAGGAAATCTGACAAGTACAAGGTTTATAGGTATACTTGCTCAGGGAGACCCAGATAGATGATGTAGAACCCCCCACCACCTCTGTAATGACATAGTTAAACCAAAACAAAACAAAAAAACCTGCATAGTAACATGTGTTCAACACACTTTCAGTTTCTTAGGACCAAGTGGCCCTGATGCCTACAGAGCCCCTGCCACCCTTTCTCTACCAGGACTGGGTGACAGCCTCCATGATGATGCTCTAACTCATCCTATAACTGGCTTCTATGTACTTCTCCACAGATCCTGCAAAGACCAGATTTTTCATGTCATCATAGATCTTTTTTCTTCCTTAGATTTCAGGCCTGATCTTTATTTCTGCTTTGCATTCCAGTTGTGTATAAAACGTACAATCAGATGTTTGCTTATCATACCCTGTTGAGTCTTCAATTAGCAAACAAGAATCACAGGCAGAAACCTGTGGGGAGAGACCGACATGATGATAGAAAACCCAGAAACCTACAAAACCACACAAGGCTATGTAGAAACTAACGCACAACCTCTGCTGAGCTTCACACATCTCAGCAGGGGGCCTTCCTCGAGCCGAGCAGCTGTGTTACTGTATTCTCCTCTGGACAGACTCAGCCGTGGACTCCAAATTAATCGCTCTAGCGTTTTATACATGAATCCGTGGGTCTAATCATAAGAGAGGAGGTCTCTATAAATTATTTTCCTTACATAATTGATGGTTTCTTACACACACAGAGCCAGTAAAGCAGTCCAAACAGCCAGATAATTAAATAAAACGCCTTTCTGCAGAGTCCATTCCTCACCACCAACTAAAACATGCCTTTAAAGCTCCCGTACATCCCTTTTACCCTTACCGTGGTAGAGAAAGGTCTGCTGTGAGAACCTGTGAGGGGTATTAGTGTACTTAGTGAGCTGACTTTCTCTCCATCTCTGGTACTCCCTACTCAGTTTAGTGTGCCTCTTTGGTAGCAGGCCAACTTGTGACTTTTCCTCTGCTCATTAATGCACCTTTGCTGTTTATAGACTCCCAGAAGAAGAGAATTTGAGTCCAAGCTGGACAGTTGGGTCTGAAATAAAGAGACTGATGAGCTGTTTGGACGGCTGCACCATTAGTTTTATGTTTGGTTTTGGGTGCAGCTGATATAGTAGTTTGTTGTATAACTCACATTTAATGATGGGTGACACACAACATGGGAAATACTAAAGTTACTGAGGTTTGGCAGCAGAAGTTCATGTATCTCTGTGTGGTGCAGGCACACGTGATTTAGATCTGAGGAGCGGGTGAGCAGTAGATCATATCTCCAGACCTCATCAGGGTTTTCCCAACTGGGACTTCATTAAACCCTTATTACCAAATCAGCATTTTTCCTTAGTCTAACACACTTCATTACTGAAGGTATTAAACTCACTTTAATGTTTGGTCTGCTCTTGTTGACCAGAGGAACAAACCAGCAATTTTCTACTAATTAGGGGTCCAGTCAGAGGAACTATAGGCACCATTTTGTAGTGATGTGACGTTCATGAACGAATCAAATCTTTTGAACGGATTTTCAAAGTGAATGATGAGAGCCGAGTCCCTGTAGAGAGCCGTTCATCTTAACAAACCTCCCGGGAAGTCGGTCAAACACATCCACTCAAACCCCACCCACTGCTATGACAGACGTAGGAGGAACCGTAGAAACACGTGTTTGTTTACATATCTCTGGAGTAACGCTAACCAACCCCGTGCGCCCTCACGGACACCACAAGAAGAAGTTGCTCTTGATCCCCATCCCCCCATGCACAAGCCTGAAGGAGTTGCTAAAGCTAACGGTTAGTTTCTGCTGTTTCCTGGACGCTAAACCAACAACAGCCTTCCCCGTCGTGAGCCAAGATGGAATGGGTGAACATTAAGAGACAGTGTGACGTAGACCTATGAGGACTTTCTAATCCTACCGTCTATTTTCTATCTGAAGCTAATGCAGGAGATAGGTGTAGGAGACTATTATCATGTTCAGCCTGCATGAAAAACTCATGACTGATTAAATTTATAAATAATAATTAAAAAGGGTTTTTTCAGGTTAGTACAACTCAAGCTAACTTCGGACTTGTCATGACTACATTTTAGAAACCTGAGATGGTAAAATGTTTAATTTAGGAAACATTTTCAGACATTTTCACACACACACACACACACACACACACACACACACACACACACACACACACACACACACACACACACACACACACACACACACACACACACACACACACACACACACACACACACACACACACAAAGACTGTATCTGTAATTAACACGATGTATTTAGGATTTTACATTCATATCTTCAAATGCTTTCCTCCCCACTGTCGCTACATGCTTGCTGCAGTCTACTGAGTTTGATAGTAAAGTTTTCACTAACCGGCTGAATGAACTGAACTCACTGCACTGATAAGTAGGTTCACTTAGAATGTTTACTTTGTAAAGTGTCTTGAGACAGCCTTTGGGGTTTGCTGTATAAGTGAACCGTCCCATGGGAAACAAACTAAAACTGCACCACGGAGGTGTAGATGCAGCACTGTTGTGGCTTCCTGAAACTGGCTCATTCTCGTGGGAATCAGTCATCAAGTGCACTGATATTTGTGTTATTTGATGAACAGTGTTTCCCTTTTGTGTTCAATACACTTTTTTCCTTAAATGTTTCCTTTAGATCCTGAACATCTCACTAATCCCTGAGCACCATGACTCATCTGTTTGGATGGCTTTAATGATTATTGGCTTTTCCTTCTTTGTCTCCATCTGACCACTTTGTATGTTCTTATTATTATTTTGTCAGTCATGGTCGCTCCACGGACCACACCCTAACCCCAGCAGCATGGTGCCCCTCGAAGGCAATAAAACACGTTTGTGTGCCTATGTCACAGGGCTTCCATCTTGTTGGTTATTGTTACAAGCCAATTTACCGGGCTAGCTCCACACCTCTAGATGTTATTCAAATCTCAGGGTTTGACTTGTAATCGGTGTAGTGAGCGTGGCATCAGTTACCAACAAACACCTTTACTCTATAGAGAGTTGATTAGCAATCACCACATTACCCAGAGCTTCTAATTCTGACCAAAATGAGTTCAAGCAGACACAAGGAGGCGCAAACACACCTACACACACCCCCAGTCCATGAAGCTTATGTACACTTCAGGTTAAGACCCTTGCCAGCTGTTCTTTTTATGCTGAGGAGACAACTGACTTTACCTGTAGCCTAGGATGGAGGAAACACTTATATCAATACCTCGGGATGGCATTTACAACCAGCATCTCACCTTCGCTCGGTTACCGGCAGGAGGAGACCCCACTCGTACATCCTTTTTTTGTTCCTCGAATCCAAGGAACTAGGTTTTATTTCACACAGATGAAAAAAGAATAATAATCCAAACAAAACCCTGACAAAGCGGGTTAAAAAGTGAAACACCTCTTTGCCAATAAACCGAGTTATAGCAAAGTTGAGCTGAATAAGCTCTCCAAAAATGACACTAGGTCAGATTATCACAGACAAAAAGCTCAAAGCAAAAGCTTCCTTCTTTCCATCTCTCTACCTCACACACTCTTCCCATTAAAGGCCAATCTCTCCCCACAGACTCAGCAACTCTCTTTTATACACTGTCCACTCCCATTCCCCTCAGTCATTCTTTGTCCTCTTCAGACTTCAGACTTCCTGGTCACGTGTTCCTCTTCTTCTGGTTACTTCTTCAACGGCCCCGCAGAGACCATAAATCTTGGATGTCATGGTGTCACCTTTTCTTCTCCCAGTCTTCATCCGTTCACTTGTTTCTTCTTCTCAGCGCCTCCTGCAGGCTTTCCTCTTCTCCTCTGGGATTACCTCATCCCCGCGGCAGGCTCTGCTGATTGGTTCTTTTCCGGAGTCCACCCATCTGTCTCTCCTTTCACCTCTGGTGACCTTAGCCCAAACACTGCCCCTCCTTTCTCAGCCTTCTCTGTAGGGTGGGGGAACAGTGAATGTTCTTTTGCTTGTTTTAGCGATCTTATCGATTTTACAAGTACATGGTCTGTTTATTAGCTCCTTGCACCTGGACTAATAAGACACAATTCTTGCCTCCCTCCCATCTCAAGATGTCAGAAAGGTTACATCAAAAACCCTGAGACCGTACCAACTCGTACAATTTACGACCTCAGGGTGAAACAGCAAAGACACACACACACACTTTTTAAACACAGGAAAATAGCTTAGAATTGATTTCACATAATGAGAGACATAATCCAGACTTAATTCCATACATTAAAAAGTCTGATTATACTCCATACAACAGTTATGGTTAACTGTGGAAGTCTGCCTATCAGCAGGTGTAGGTATGCAGAATATTAATAACGTAGTTATTCGTTTAAGGCAGGAAGTGTGTGTGTGTGTGTGTGTGTGTAGGAGGCAGGATGTGATCCGGAAACACCTGAGCTCCTTTCTAAGACAGGTGTGATACTGGAGGAGCCGTGCAAGTGGAGTGTTTTATAGTTAGCAACATTAGTTTGTGTGTGTAAATGTTTTTGCTGAGCTTAAGTAGAGTTTTAATAAGAACTCTATGTAACGTTTTGTAAACAAGGCCCCGGATTTGATGCCCAGCGCTGTTCTTTTGCAGGAGTCATGCAGATTTTACATCGCTGTAGGATGATTGTTGCTTTGTTGATCCTGGGCCAAAGCAATGTTGGTGGTCAAGGACTGAAACCAAGTGTGTCATTAAAACACCACAGTCCTGTCTGGGAGTTACTAAGCAAGCGTATGTGGTTCTCCACAGGTACTAAATCCCAAGAAAAAAGGGAAGAAGAAGAAGAAGTACCAAAACTCAGGAACGGTAAGTTGTAGCTTCATTATTATTCAGTATTGCAAAGTATAAATGTGCAAATGAATGATTTTTCTTTCTTTAATGAAAGCCTACAATTATTTTTTATTATTTATTCTTTATTTAACCAGGAAGAGTTGTTTGTTTGCTGGTTTTTTTTAATGGTTGACAGCTCGTTTTTTATCCATGTGCTAATTTTTTACTTTGACATGTTTTATTTTGGTGACTAAGATGGAGAGGAAGCTTTTTCCATCCATTTATGGTGCAGCACCAGCATCAAATGCTTTATCGTCTTCCCCTCCTCTGATGTTATCTGTACCTGTGGTAGAGTTGATCTGTTTATTTTTACCATTACTGCTTATGAACGAGAGAGTGAGAGAGAGAGAGAGAGAGAGAGAGAAAACCAGCGGGTTAATGAAACAGCAAAAGAATAAAAATCTACCTGTTATTGATGAAAAATGTGTGTGTGTGTGTGTGTGTGTGTGTGTGTGTGTGTGTGTGTGTGTGTGTGTGTGTGTGTGTGTGTGTGTGTGTGTGTGTGTGTGTGTGTGTGTGTGTGTGTGTGTGTGTGTGTGTGTGTGTGTGTAAGAGAGAGACCAATGTGCATTACAAATGGAAATGGAACGGGGGACGGTCCATATACCAGACAGGGAATCCTGCAGTCATGTTTTTAAGCATCACCCCCATCCCACCCCCCATCCACCAATCATAGCTGATCACGGATTAGGAAAATGAAGATTTGAACATGAAACAACTATAAAAGAAATGTCTGACTTGAAGGGAGTCAAGGTCTGGAAAAATAAGAGCTGAGACGAGTCTTTTGTTGTAAGGAAAATGTCCCATCACGCAGAGGGGGCGGGGCTCAAATTTAAAGTGCAGCCAGCCACTAGGGGGAGTTTTGGTTCATGTCAGTTATTATCTATATTCATCATGCATGTTGATGAATCAAAGACCGTATAAATAGTAAAACATGGAGTTGGATGTTAAAGCAAAACAAGTGAGCCATAATCATATGAAGCATCTGAAGCAGGAAACACAAGAATTTTGTGATAACATGAAAGTGATCTCTGTCTTGTTCACACTCTGGCTGGCAGGTCACCCTCCTGTCCTGCCTGGTGGACACTGAGCTGTCCTTCTTGGACTACATCAGAGGCGGGTAAGTTCACAGTAAATGATGGCTAATGCTAGCAGATTAGGGTGCAGCAGTGCCCTCATCATCACATCTTATGTCAGCTCGCGCTGCAGACTCTCAGCTGAGAGGATTACTGCTCCGTCTTATCTCTCAGCTCCAGTATTAAGACAGACAGCTGCCGATAACCTGCTGCTTAATTGCTCTCCGCCGCTCGCTTCCAAGCAAGCTGCAGGGTAATCTGACATGATTGATGTGTCTATGTTCCTCCTCACGTTGTTTCTGTTCTATTTGTAGGACACAGATTAATTTCACAGTGGCAATCGATTTCACAGCATCAAATGGTGAGTGATTTACAGCTTCTCATAATAATGTATCGAAAAGTTTTGTGGTTAAAGATCAAATCTGTTGGATGTAAACTCTTACAGCCCCCCTAATTGACCAGCCTAACTGTAACTTGTGCAAAAGAAATGATCTGAAACTATAAGAACTGATGTATTTGTTTGGCTTCAAAGTTCAGCGCTGAGCTGAACAAAGTTTGTGTGAACGGAGTCATCACACCCACGAGTTTCCACCCCGCAGGGGAGCTGTTTCATCAGTTTGTAGCAGAAACAAGTTAACAACAAACCACATCAGCTGTTCCACACAGACGTTCAGCGGATTATGGGTCTTTTCTTTCTAACAGGAGAAGATTAATGGGTTAATAATCTGTGACACAATGTTGGAGATTATTAAACAGGAGAAGTGAAATCAAATAAAGTCTCTAGGTGACTGGGGGAAAGTGATGTTCCTCTGTGCATGATGTCCGCCTTCGTTTTGGTTCTATTTATTACATTTTTATTTTATTTTCTTGTTTTTGATTGCATTTTAATGACTTTAGGTTCAACAAAGCCCCCTTGTTTCAGTTTTAGATGGTATAAACTAAATGACATGATTCTGGAGACTTAAAGCAGCCACCATTAGGACAGCGTTCTTCTTGCTGCTTAAAATGCTTTAAAGGAGTTTTATTGTGGTATTTTGGAGGTTTTGGATGTATGAGAATAAAAAAAATGATTGAAACTGTAACTGAAATTTATTTTAACATATTTTCATGGCACAAGGAAGTGAAATGATGTATGTAAACATACTTTTTATATACACATGTTTAATCACCACCATTTTAAGATGTTGGAAAATCTTAAAAACTCTCATTAAAAGTGCTTGAAAAGTTGCTTTTTCACAGCAACCTTAAAGATGTCCAGGTGTCATTTGAAAAATTAGAATATGGTGCAAATTTGTGTTTATGTCAGTAATTCTACATAAAAAGTGAAACTAACACATGAGACAGACTCATTCCATGCAAAGTCAGATATTTCAGCTTTTATTTGTTATGTAATGTGAATTGTGATGATTATGGCTTACAGCTCATGAACACCCCAAATTAAAAATGTTAGACAGTTAGAATATTGTGAAAACGTTCAATATTCTAGACTCAAAGTGTCACACCCTAATCAGCAAATGAATCCAGAACACCTGCAAAGGGCTGCTGAACCTTTAGATCAGAGGTCCCCAATCCTGGTCCTGGAGGGCCGGTATCCTGCATGTTTTAGTTTGAACTCTGTTTCAACACACCTGATTTCAATCAACAGCTGATTAACAGGCTTCTGAAGAGCCTGATGTGCTGCTGCACAGGTGTTTCAACCACTGAATCAACCACAAAACCACAAAACCTGCTGGATACCAGCCCTCCAGGACCAGGATTGGGGACCCCTGCTTTAGATGGTCTCTCAGTCTGAGCTGAGTTTCTGACATAATTTCGGACTTTTGCACCATATTCTAGTTTTCCCGGTTTCACCTATAGACAACAGGCAGGGGTCTGCTACAGCTGTGACTTAAGCATGGGTGACAGTAAAAGTGGATAATGGTGCTACTTTTAGGAAAAATACTAGTATTACGCAAACTTTGTTTTATAAAAGTTTATAGCACCGTTCGTTCTTTCATAATTTTTGACTGAAGTCTGTGGTTAGTTGCAGGACAAACCAGCAGCAGCATTCACTGCCTGAAATTCCTCCAGCAGTATTACCAGATGGGATTGTAGGGTGTTTCGGAGTGCTTTTAGCGCCCCCTTGTGTCTGTTAGTAAAAACCAAAAGTGAAATCTATCTTCTCGCTGTGCTTTTGTCTTTTTAACAGCTTAATCTTACAGCTGAAATGCCTCCTTAGCCTTCATTAGAGTCCACAGGAGTGATTCATCACTAAATCAAACAAATCAACTGTGTTCATGATCTAAAATGTGCTAAACCAGACCACAGCACCAATGCCAGCTCCTCTTTTAAGTCCAGCATGGACCAGACCAGCACTTGGAACTTGCAAGTGCAGTATTTTGGCCACAGAGGCCGGTGGGGTCTGAGTGACATTTCATTAACCCTGGAAAGGGTCACGTTAGCACATATTATTGTTCCTTATTCCAGCTCTTGGAGAGTACAGACGCTTTTCCCTCCTCTCCTCCCTATCTTACCCCAAGGCTCTTTGTCTGTCTTTGGGTGTACGGTGCTTCTGCATTTTTCTGGAAACTGGAAATTATTAAAATGGACCTGGTCAGTCGGTCTCTCAACACGATTGACAAATTTTTTTCTACGATGAGAAAGGGAGAAGGGGCTCCTGGATGCCCCTCTGGGACAGAGCCAGCTGGGCACATCATGGACTCCTGGAAACAGTGGAACCTGATCTGCCTCTCTCAACTGTCTGTAGAGGATTCTGAAGACGTCTGGATATTCGTGGTGTTGGTGTCAGGTTTCTTGCTTTTTGGCCTGAGTGGTTACCTGGCTTACCGGAAATAATGAGCTGTTGAGGAATATTGGCTCAATCCCGTAGCTCAGGGATGGATTACATCATGCTGTGAACGCACAACTCATATAATTGTCGAGATGAGTCGTAAGTTTGGAACTTTGGCTGAGATTGGCACAGAAGGTGGATTCAATCAAGAAGAAAGTTGACGGATCAGCACGGATTGGGATAGATTAATTACGCCATTATTGGAACTAAAGGGGTTGAGGTCCAACAGAACTTTAAGGCAGAGAGGAAATTATCTCTGTCCGGCCCCAAAACAAGTTCTTATCTGAATCTGGAGCCTGTGAGGCTGAAGTGATTACTCCCCCTCAGGAGAAATGTGGAATGCTGCTGTCGCCATGGCAACTCTGTCTCCCTATCCCAGCCTGGGCGGGACTGCGACTGGTGAAGGCCGTTGAATCGTTCCAGGAGTCACTGTGCTCTCTAACCCAATTACCTCCTTCCCCTGTCCAAACCGAGGTGACGAGTGCTGCCTATCGCGGCTGCATGCACTGATGTTTGGAGAGTCCCAAACCCACCACCCCACCTAGTGGACACTTATGTTGTGTGATGTCTGAAGTCTGTTGCATATCTGTCTGAAGTGTTTTTGCAGAGCTAAGCTGCCCTCCCTGTGGAGGGTAACTCTGAAGTGCCTTTATTTCCCTCCCGCTGAACCAATCCTCATATAAACCCTCTGATCTTTATTAAGGTAGCGTGACTCGGGTTACGAATGACCACAGTCACTAATTCTTGTCATGTGTCTTGCCCATGTATGTCTGATCTCAGAATTGTGTGTACTGAAACTCTAATTTCCCTCTGGGATTAATAAAGTATCTTTGAATTGAATTGAATTGAATACTGGCCCAAGAAAATAATTTAAAAATATGAAAACGTTGCATAGTATCCCTTTAAAGCAGAAATCTGGAGTTTTATCCTCAGATGGCATCATCTAGACAGAAAAAGTCCCTCCATCTACTTCCGTTATTACAACTGAAAGAAACACGTCTTGCAAGAACACGCAGCTCAAAGTCTCAGCTTTTCCTTCTTATATTGCTCACATCTAATTCCTTTTAGTCCCTTGTAGGTTAATTAGATCTGAAGGTGCAGTTGTTTTCATTACAACACAAACACTGAGACCTACTGCAGAGGCTCAGATGGATGACGCTGTTTTTGCAATCCAAAAGTCTTACAATCGTGATCCCGGGGATGTTTGCAATTTGTTGGGATTTCTGGAAAAGTTTATTTGTTTATTTATTTCATAAAAATCTAAAGGAAAATGTATAACCTGGGTGCAAAACAATAAGGACAGGACATCTCATGACAAACTCATCATCCAACATTTCTGATGAACTATTTCACAGCTTTGCTTCACATCATGTCTGAACCAGAGCTTAAAAGTGGTTGACTTAAATAAAAGTTCCTAAATGAGACTTGTGCCCCTTTGCTCTAACTTTTCAGACTTGGCTTCAGTCTAGTTATTTAAAAGTAGACAGGAAGAGAAAGATAGCTTCACAGGAAAGAGCCGTACTCTGAGCTGAACTAATAACTCTTGTGTTAGTGTCAGAAACTGAGCACAGAGCGTAACAGATGCATATTCATATTTAATAACTTTAATATTCTGACTGCCGCATTCTCATCAGCCCTCTGTGCTCTCCTGTTGATGTCACTGCAGCAGATACAATCATTTGTCAAGACCTGGAGAACTTTAACCCATCCATCCATTCATTTTCATCCGCTTATCCGGCGTCGGGTCGCCGTGGCAGTAGACTAAGTTGAGAGGTCCAGACTTCCCTCTCCCCAGCCACTTGGGCCAGCTCCTCCGGGGGAATCCCAAGGCGTTCCCTGGCCAGGTGAGAGACATAGTCCCTCCACCGTGTCCTGGGTCTACCTTTAGGTCTCCTCCCGGTTGGACGTGCCCTGAAAACCTCACCAGGGAGGCATCCAGGAGGACTCCTGACCTTCTTTCGGTCACTACCCAAAGCTCATGACCATAGGTGAGGGTAGGAACGTAGATCGACCGGTAAATCGAGAGCTTCGCCTTCTGACTCAGCTCTCTCTTCACCCCGACAGACCGGTACAATGCCCGCATCACTGCAGACGCAGCACCAATCCGCCTATTGATCTCAGGCTCCAGTTTTCCCTCACTCGTGAACAAGACCCCAAGATACTTAAACTCCTCCACTTGGGGCAGGACCTCATCCCTGACCCGGAGAAGGCATTCTACCCTTTTCCGAATCAAGACCATGGTCTCAGATTTAGAGGAACTGATGCTCATCCCTGCTGCTTCACACTCGGCTGCGAACCGCTCCAGCGAAAGCTGAAGATCACGTTCTGATGAAGCCAACAGGACCACATCATCTGCAAAAAGCAGAGGCCTGATCCTCAGGCCACCAAAAGGGATGCCCTCCACACCTTGGCTGCACCTATAAATCCTGTCCGTAAAAGTTATGAACAGAATCGGTGACAAAGGGCAGCCTTGGCGGAGTCCAACCCTCACTGGGAGAACTTTAACCAATTTTCTAAATCTCTATTAATCCTAACTGTGTTTATATCAGGCCAGTATTCAGTTACCTTAATATTAAAGTTACACCAAAGCCACTAAGTTTAACTCTAGAGAGGTTGGCTTTCCATAAGGGACAGAACTGTTGTTACCAGGCTTCGAGTGTTTGTTCATCTCCATGAAGGCCCTTTGTGTACTCCACCAGCTTAGTCCCCTGAATGAATTTAGACCCTTAGGTTCAGTAATAGATATTAGTTAGCTGCTTATTAATGCATTAAATAACATGTTTTGTAATGCTTTATAATGCATTAAAGCATTTGTTATCACTTTATTTAATGGTTTATCAATGCTTAATAATGCACTAACTAACGTTAATAAAGGGACCCTTATTGTTAATTGTTACCCATATTTCAGCCCTGTAACCATCAGGGTTTATGTTTTTAATGTTGATGTGTGTTTGTTTTCTTGCATCATTATGGATGTAGGTAACCCATCCCAGCCTACTTCACTTCATTACATGAGCCCGTACCAGCTGAATGACTACGCCATGGCACTGCGGGCTGTTGGTGAGATCATCCAGGACTATGACAGTGACAAGATGTTTCCTGCACTTGGCTTTGGTGCCAAGCTTCCACCAGATGGACGCGTCTCTCATGAATTTCCCCTGGTGAGGAAATGGATCATTCCTTACACACAACTCCATAATTTATTACACTCCTATGTATACGCTTCTAACTGGAAGACTTATTAAGGGATAGAGACTTATTTATTCTGAGTTAGGTGATATTTCAGTTTGTCTTTTTTAATAAATCTGCATACATTTCTAAAATGCTGTGTTTTTCTGTCAATATGGGGTGCTATGTGTACATTAATGAGGAAAAAATGAATTTAATAGATTTTAGCAAATGGCTGTAATACAACAAAGAGTAAAAGAATTGATAGGGGTCTGAAAACGTTCTGTACCCTATTTATACATATATACATTTTTTATTTTTATTTCATTTGTAACAAACACATTCCAAAGGTCTCTGGAAAAGTATTGCACACGATAAGAACAGAGGGAAATAGAAGCACCAAGTCCCAGTTGAAGCCTACAATGTGATGCTAGCACTCACTGCTATAAACATTACACACTCCACGCTGCAGCCTCATCTTCTGCCCTGCAGTAAAGAATACAAAATTAAACTACTTGACTGAAATGTTACTGCCAAGTCCAACAGAGACTGCATATATCCAGGAAAAATTGCTGAAAGCACACCAGTTAATATGACACCGTCCATCACAGTTTCCACAAGGGTTCTTAAAAAATACTCTATTTCACTTTATAACAGACTGCCTCCATTTGGAACCAATGTCTTAAAGGAGACATAACATGAAAAACCCACTTTTTTATCCATTAACACAGTGTGTTTCACATTTTAAGTGTCTAAGTGAGCAAAAAGGCTTATATTATTCACTGGAGTTGCTATTTAGATATTTAATGATTAAGTTTTGGGCATATTTGTCCACCCGTTCAGTTTTTACATTATCTATTACATCAGTAATTAATTTAGTCAGGATAACTACCAAATATGGTAATGGCCCTCGGCTAAACACAGAGCCAATCCGCCATTTTTTCTTCTCGCTAAGATTTTTTGTAGTCCTATTGGAAAAATGCAGAATGTCTGGTTATTTTAGCCACACACAGCTCAAAACTGTTCCTCGTTTTAAGGAAGGGTGGTGTGGCAGTATTTAAACCCAGGAGCTGATGACACTACTGCTAAAAAAACACAGAAGAAAAAGTTGTGTGTTTGTGTTTGTGTTTGTGTGTGTGTGTGTGTGTGTGTGTGTGCGCGCGCGCGTGCGCGTGGTTCGTTCGTTCGTGTCTCCAGGCTAGTAAGTACTGAGGGTTCATCTATCTAAAAGGAGTCATTTCCATCTGAATGTGGCAGCACCGGGACACAGCAGCAGAGCGGTAAGCTTCATATCACTCTAAAATGTCGACAAACTTTACTTTAGATTTACGGGCATTAGCAGCACTAAAGCGTTAGCATCCGGCTTGCTATCGCTAGCACAGTATGCTAGTAAAGTTAGCACCCAGATTAATGTGGATTTGGCTGATTTTCGTGGAATAAAACGTGATTTCTGATCAACGCCTTCTTTTACACCAGATGATAACCTCCCACTGATTGTAACAGCAGAGAGCCTGTGTGTTATTCTACGTGAGTGTGATGTAATCTTAGCATCCAGTAAATAAAGTCCCATATCAGCTAAAATGCAGCGTGACAAAGTCATTAAAGTGCGTCAACACAGTGGATTTAATAGAGTTTTAAAGAACAATCTCTGAGTGGAGTGAGGTTAGTTTTTTGTCTCACTGCAGATATAAAAACTAACTTTATCAGTCAGACGCAGCAAAGCTCACCGTCTGTATGAGCGTGAGCATCGGAAAGCTGATAAAATTGGCTGTACAATAATTAAAACAAAAGTAAAAATGCTCCTTTGCTTTTTAGAGTCCACATCCAGAAGACTGGAGCCGTGTTTCTCTGACAGGCTGTCAGACTAACGCCCTGATGAGCTCAGCTGGGACAAACTGGTCTGATGTTTAGGTAAGTGAAGATCTGCTTCTCCAAGTCCTTGAGATGCTAGTAAAAAATAATTTAGCCAGTTTGCTAATGTTACTTTTCTTCTCCTCTAAGGAACACAGAACGTTCAGATGTTGGCGTTTCACGTCACCTACTGAGGAAGGAGACCCACCAGTAAAGAGATGGTAGCTGGACCAGACCAAAGTGAGTGATGACACACCTCAGCCACCCTCATCATTAAGAACACCTCACCCCCTGAATCACTCCGTCTGATGACAGCAGAGTGATTTATTTGATGTTTTACTTGTTTAGTCTGTTTAGAAATTATTGAATTACATTATTTTCTGTAATCGACCATCTGATCTGGATGTGTGCAGAATAACTTTCCCCAAATTCAGCAGCAGCTGGCCTACAAAAACAGCTGCAGCATGTAGTAAGTCTGTCTGCACTGCTCTCTAATGAGCTTCCTTTCATAAGGAATCATTTGTATAATTTTAGTGTCACTATTTTATTACATTTGTAAGAATATGAAGTCACTGCAGCAAAGTGAACTTGTGAACAAACACAAACGTGACTATAAACATGAAAGCTAAAGAAACAACTTTCCTAAAGCTGCTTGTAAACAAAATATGTCATTAAAGTTATTGTCTATCATTGCAGAATATGACGATGACATCATGGAACTGGTCTTTGGAAAAGTTTTCCCTGAACCAACTCCATTTCTAGATGAGGTAGAGAAGATCTGCATCTCACCAACTCTCTGGTCTCAGTATTCAGACAACGGAGGTCTCCCACTGTTATCCAGGACCAGTTTGAAGCCCACATACTGCCCCTCCCTCATCATCAGGAAACATCAATCGGTATCCTGAGGACAACAGAAGACGGCAGGAGGACAGGAACTCTGAGACCTAGATACACCAGCACCGAGACACAAAGCACCTGTGTGCACATTGCCTGTTTAACTACTAAAGCCTGTTTATTATATTGTTCTACTTATTTGCTGTGAGGTTAATACTTAGAAAATTTGTATATTAATGTAAACAATTTAAAAAAATCACTGATTGTATGTTTTCTTTTAGATGTAATGGTCCAAACTCAGCCTTGTAGACATTTATTGCATCCTGTAGGTAAATACACAGAACAGGCTCAGGTCCAGGATGACCCAGCATGCTCTTCTTCCATTCTGGCTGTTAGGGATTTTATCAATAACTCAATGCCTACTGATGTTTTCACCTAACGGTATTTATTTAGAATGGAGGTAAGATTTAACTATATTTGTTAGCAAAGCAGACTGATCTTGGGAATTTCACTGCAGCACTGATGTCCACCTGTGTGTACACATTAGAGAGAATCACCACTTTACAGTTAAACACATTTAATAAAGATATAGGCTACGCATTGCAGACAATAAAAACAAAGTTTTAAGCATTAGAATTATAATGATCACATTAAAGAACATTTGGAGGAATGTTCTTTATTTTTGACTCGAATCTCAAATCTTTAAATTAAAATGTAACTGCTTTTTATCCATTTTCAGCCATTAAGACACCCAATATAAAAAAAGACTACTTATAAAATTATTTATAATTATATGTATGTATATATATAGATAGAGATCTTAATAAAATGTATTCTTTTAATGGTGTTTTAATGAGCTGTATCATTTTTTAAAACATTTTTTATAGAAATAAATAAGCAAGCAGCATTCCTTGTGTGTGTGTGTGTGTGTGTACGCGCGCGCGCACGTGCCTGCTAGCTTGTCCCTCCGTCGGCAGTGACGGGTGTGTGTGAGTGACTACAGACAAATGCATGAGAGAGTTAGCAGCCTTGAAACAGCTTGATGAACTACCCTCCCCACATGTTTTAAAAATGCTAATATGCTATGCTAAATCTGCTATGCTAAATAATGATTTCTCTATAGAACTACAAAGTCCGACTGGGGGAGGAGAGTACAGGTCTGCACTATGGAGGGGGGGCGGAGTTTACAGCTCCTCCTCCAGTTTAAAGAGACAGTACCCAAAAACGGCTCGTTCTCAAGACTCTCCTCAGAACAGGGGTAGATGAGGGTCTGTAGAGCAACAATAATGAGGAAATCAGACCAAAGAACTGCAGTTCCACTGTATTTAGACCCCAACTGAAGGATTTAGATGTAAAAAGGAATAACTTAAAAGCATGTTATGTCTCCTTTAATGAGACTGAAGCACTCATGTTTACATCTTGTTTCAGCTTATGATGGCAAGTTAGTTTGTTGACACCAACATTTTTGTGAGTACCCTCTGAGGGATCCTGAAGACCACTAATGACCCTCGTACCACTATTTGAGGACCATAGTTTTAGAAATAAAGGAATCAGAAGACTCTTGTAATCATTGCACAGTCAGCTGATGGTGTTAAAATCAAACAGGAAGTCTCATCTGAACTATTCTAAAAACTGTTGTGAGGCAAACTTTTTATTAGTACATTCTAAAGTACATTTTAAAAACCCAACCGCTCAAATTAGGACAACATTAAAACGATGTTCAAACAAAGCTCATGAAATATTACGGATTGTTCTGACACTTTCATCCTAATTAAATGCAGTAGTACACTATATTGGTGGGTGGAGGACACTTCTGTCCAAAATGTAGAAAAGCATCTAATTAGCTGTGGGATGGGAAGCCAAATGAGTTGGCTTGTCTTTGGCAACTTGCTGCCTTGTATCTGCAGAAAAGTTCCATTTGTTTGTGTAACGCTGGTCCAACAAAGAGGAAGATAAAAGTTGTTTATCCTTCACCTAGCACCATTAGCTGAGCATCTTTTATCTCGGTGTATCCATCCTTTCATCTATCCACATGTCTGACTTTTTTACATAAGGTAATTATGCAGTAAGGTATCGCAATCCATCCTGAGCCAGCCATTATCCTGTTCCTGGTCCAATCTCACTTCCAGATGTTTCTCCAGAGGCAGGTACAGCCATTACAGCTGCTCAGTACACAGTAGCAGCCTCCCTGGAGGCGCTGGACTGTGAGATGAGGCGCATGCATTAATCTCACTATTAGGAATTCAACTTTCATCTGGGGAGCAGCAGTAGGAATAAAAGAAACTTGCAGCTGAATCTCTGACAATTATCTGAGCTCTAGTTATAGAGCAAAGAAGTCTCTCGTATTTATGTGGAACCAGGCAGTTGGTATCGTACTGAGATACTAAGAAAAACATTTGTTAAGTTCAAACAGTGTCGTTTCTTTGTTCTCACTTTCATTTGGGTTTCTGAAACACAGCCAGCTGACATCAGCTTTGGTGTCTTTTCGAGAAAAGGGGCGATGTGAGCAGTGCAAGATTTGACTAAGTTATTATCTTTTCTGTGTTTTTATGACTTCTGCAGTATAGGTGTCTCAGGGTACTTTTTACTTTAAAGATGTAGCCGATAAACTAAACAGTTGGCATCTTTCTGACACTTTTGCAATATTTATAATGTGGGTTTGGATTTTCACATCCTAACGTGCTTACAGCCCTATGGTGTCTCTTCTAGTTGGTAAATTTTGTATGATACTGGAATGAAATGAGTTTTATGCTCCACAGTGGCGGTGACTCCATATAATCTTCTTATCCTACAAATTGCATCCAAATCTTTTCCCATTTAAAAAGGAAATTGTAGCACCCTGCCTTTTCTCCATTTAATACGATCAGAACATTTTGTTCTACTTCAGAAATGTGTTGTTCTTGTTTTACATTTTAGCTGCATTGACGCTGAACATCAGGACCAACCACACAGTGGAATTCTAGTCTTCATGTTCAGTGTGTATATGTTGAAAAGGTACTACAGGTTCATGGAGTACAAACAAATATTTTATCTTTTATTTAGAATTTAGGTTTTTAAAGTGGTATTTTACTGAAAAACATTTTAATGATTATTTCTGGTTTTAATTGGCCTCTTAAGTTTTTCATGCAGGCTGAACATGAAAATAGTCTCCCACACCTATCTCTTGCATTAACTTCTGAGAGAAAGACGGTGAAACACTAAGATTAGAAAAGCCTGACAAATCTATGTCACACTGTCACTTAAAATTCATGGACTCACCAATCTTGACTCATGATGGGGAAGGCTGTTTTTGGTTTAACTTCGAAGAAACAGCCAAGAACGTGTCACGTAGCATAAGCTAACCATTAGCATTAGCAACTTCACCACACGGCAGAACTCCTACCGGCTTGAGTTATTTGTGGAGATAAAGTATCCACTAATTTAAGGACCACTTTAAGACCTAATGTATAAGATAAACAAAACTTTTCTGTTCCTGCTTACACACAAACACATATGTACTTTAAGGACAACAAACTAGCATTGAATTTTCTCTATGTAGTCAGCTTTTTCTAAGTAACAGAGATACTTGTCTAAAAAGACTCCTTCATTTCTCCTCTCTTGGCTAAAAGACAGAGAAGCTATCTGCGTCATATCCATCGACATATAAATATTGGACAATTCCTTTCCATAGACTCCAGTAACACGTTTTTGAGGCCAAATGGGAGGTGGCCACCACCACCATTTTGACCGTGTCACAGGTTCCGTCAAGCCCAGACAATTTCACAAAAGGGAAGAGAGGTGGAGCTGAGGGTGGGGCTGTAAGGCTGGGATCGACTGACGACACCCGGTCGAACTAGCTACAAGCTAACCTGAAGCTAACCCAAAGCTAATGCGGAGGTGGGAGCTAAGCTAACGGAGGTAGCAACCTAGCTACAACCGGAGTTAACTGTGCACAACACCAGAGCTTCTGTGTCAGAGATACGCCAAGCTGACCGCTGGGTAAAACCGGGTGGAACAAATAGGTCTCCCGAGACCTCCAGAAGCCGGCAGCCGCACAGCAGGCAAGCGCCACTGTGATCTGAGATGCCGCTGGGGAGAACCAGGTGGAACGGTTTCCAACCCAGAGCTCCTCAAGCCGGCAGCCCGCGCAGCAGACAGAAGCCGCGATTAGACAGAGATGCGCCGAGCTGCGGGGAGGGGAGAAACGGGTGGAAAATATCGGTCTCCCGGGAGCTCCACAAGCCGATAATCGGAACCCAGCTCCACCAACATGTTATATTTCAACCCATTTTCTAAAGTGCAGCATTATGTTAAATGCACTGGGTTTTACCCTATTGCATTTAAATTTCATGGTTAAACAGTACATGTTAAAATCTAAGCTCAGCTCGGTGTCAGACTCGAAGACTGGTTTCGGGAGTACGAGCTTTATTAGAGACTGCTGGCTGCAAGCGGTGCTGGAAAGGCTGATGGAAGGATGAGGTCTGAGTTAAAAAGGTGGAGGTTCAGCTGTATTAGCTTCTGAATACTCTGATCATGGAACACGGTGGAACGATGACTGAGTGAAGAGCCGGTGTGGCGTCTTCCATATATAGACATGGATGACGCAGGTGCAACGTGGAGGGAATCCCCGCGAGGGGCATGCTGGGTAATGTGGTCAGAGACAGAAGCCGGTCAGCTGGGAGAGCCCGGCCTGGGGGCTTGGACTCTGACAGGACCCCCCGGTCCAGGGACGGCTCCCGAAGTCCCCGGGCCACCTCGGTGGGCCCAGAAGTCCGAGATGAGGGCAGGGTCCAAGATGGAGTGGGCCGGCTCTCAGGAGCGTTCCTCGGGGCCGTAGTCTGCCCAATCCACAAGGTACTGCCAACCCCGACCCCGAGCGTCCAGAATGCGCCGGACAGTGTAGATGGGCTCACCGTCGAGGAAGCGGGCCGGTGGAGGTATTAGAGCCCGAGGCGGCAGGAGTGAGGATTCCACATAAGGCTTGAGCCGGGAGGTGTGGAAGGTGGGATGGATGCGAAGGCTTGTAGGCAGCCGCAGCCGGTACGTGTCCGGGTTGATGACCTTCTGCACGGGGTAGGGTCCGAGGAACCGGGGAGCAAGCTTCCTGGAACCGGCACGGACCCGGAGGCCTGCTGTGGACACCCAGACCCTGTCCCCTGGAGCATAGAAGGGACCCGGGCAGTGCCTGCGGAGGTGTTGGAGGGAGTAACGGGCGTTGGCCCGGGTGATGGAGGCCCGCGCCTTGATCCATGCATTCTTGCAGCGCCTCACCAGGGATTGAGCGGCCGGCACTGCAACTTCGGGTTCCTGGTGGGCAAAGACCGGGGGCTGGTAGCCATAGCAGACCTCGAAAGGGGACATCTGAGTGGCCGAGGAGGTGTGGAGATTATGAGACAGCTCCGCCCAGAGGAGGTACTTAGGCCACTGCGAGGGCTGGGCCGAGACAAAGCAGCGGAGGTACCGGCCCAACTGTTGGTTTGCCCGCTCCGTGTGACTGTTGGTCTGTGGGTGGTAGCCCGAAGACAGGCTGACAGAAGCTCCCACTAGATGGCAGAAGGCTTTCCAGAAACGGGCCGTGAACTGGGGACCACGATCCGAGACCACGTCGACCGGGAACCCGTGGAGACACACCACGTTCTCCAGAAACAGTTCTGCAGTGCGTTGGGCTGAGGGGAGGCCCGGGAGGGCGATGAAGTGAACAGCCTTGGAAAACCGTTCAGTGACCGTCAGGATGGTGTCGAGGTCATTGACCAGCGGAAGACCCGTGACAAAGTCCAGCCCCACATGGGACCAGGGGCAGCTGGGCACCGGAAGAGGTCTGAGGGTGCCAACCAGAGCCTGGGTGGATGCCTTAGAGTGGGTGCAGACGTCACAGGCGCTCGTGAATTCACTAACGTCCCTCTCCATACGTGGCCACCAGAGAGCCCGTTTAAGGAACCTGAGAGTCCGAGAGAAACCTGCGTGACCAGACAGGTGTGATGAGTGGGCCCAGGACAACACCTCACTGCGACAGGCCGAGGGGACGTAGAGCCAACTGGCGGGGGTCTCTGACGGCGCTGGGTCACCCGGGAGGGCGTTTTGGATGACCTCCTCCAACGGCCGCCCAAGGTGGGCCACAAAACGGTGCTCCGGGAGGATGGGCGCCGGCTCGGACGTGGGCGCTGAATGGGAGAACCGGCGGGAGAGGGCGTCCGCCTTCTGGTTCTTTGTCCCGGGGCGATAGGCGAGATGGAACTCGTAGGGTTTGAAGAAGAGGGCCCAGCGTGCCTGGCGAGGATTTAACTGCTTGGCGGACCGTATGTGGGTTAGGTTCTGGTGGTCAGTCCAGATGGTGAACGGCTGAGTGGTGCCCAGAAGCCACTGCCTCCATTCCTCCAATGCCCATTTTATGGCCAGCAGTTCACGATCCCCCACGCCGTACTTCTGCTGGGTGGTGGAGAACTTCCTGGAGAAGTAGGCGCAGGGATGTAGCCTGTCGTCGGGACCGCCTTGGGACAGGATGGCGCCGACATCCAAGGCGTCGACCTCGACCACAAAAGGGACTGCCTGGTCCGGGTGGCGCAGGATAGGAGCCGATGTGAAACGAGCGACTAGGTAGTGGAAGGCCCGAACGGCGTGTGGGGTAAGCCAGAACGATTGACCAGGAGGAATCGGTCGGGTGAGAGAAGTGAGAGATGCTACAATGGTGCTAAAGTCTTTGATAAATCGATGGTAGAAGTTGCAGAAACCCAGAAAACTCTGCAGTTGCTTTAGGCTGGTAGGTAGGGGCCAGTCCTTAACCGCCTGGACCTTCTGAGGGTCCATGGTTAGACCTTGATCCGAAATCAGGTAGCCCAGGAATGAAACGGACCGCTGGTGGAAGGAGCACTTCTCGGGCTTGCAGAACAGGTTGTTGTCCTGGAGCCGGGTCAGGACAGCGCGAACATGGTGGTGGTGATCAGCCTCTGACTTGGAGTATATCAGGATGTCGTCCAGGTAGGCAAACACCCACCGTCCCAACATGTCACGGAGGACATCATTGATGAAGCGTTGGAAAACGGCGGGGCTATTGCACAGTCCGAAGGGCATGACCTGGTACTCCCAGTGACCGGTGGGGGTGATGAATGCCGTCTTCCACTCATCTCCAGCTTTGATACGGACCAGGTTGTAGGCGCTCCGGAGGTCCAGCTTGGTGAAAATCCGCGCCTGGGAGATGGCATCCAGGGTGGATGTGAGGAGTGGCAGAGGATGGCGATCTCTGACTGTGATCTTGTTCAGTCCTCAGTAGTCGATACAGGGGCGGAGATCACCCTCCTTTTTCCTCACAAAGAAGAAGCCTGCGGCACCTGGGGACGACGAGGGTCGGATGAAACCCTGCCGGAGGGCCTGGTCGATATAGTCCTCCATAGCTCTGGACTCGGCGGGGGAGAGAGAAAAAAGGCGCCCCCGGGGTGGACTGGTTCCTGGCTGGAGCTTGATCTCCATGTCGTATGGACGGCGAGGCGGCGGTGCGGTGGCTCGCTGCTTATCGAACACCGCGGCCAGATCCCGATAGGCCGGTGGCAGATTGGGTGGCGCCGAACCGGAGCCACCTTCCGGGCAGTCAGGTCGAGGTGGAGGAGGAGAGAGGTGGGTCCGGCACTGGGCCCCCATTCCAGAAGGCGAGCTTGGGACCAGGAGATCCGTGGGTCATGGAGGCGGAGCCAGGGAAACCCCAGGATTAGAGGAGAGGAGGGAGCATGGATGATCAGGAAATGGAGGGTCTCCCGGTGGCCCTGGACTGTCATCTGGAGAGACTGCGTTCGGTTTTGGACAGGGTAAGCCTGGAGGGGCCTGCCGTCCATCGTGGTCACTGGTACAACCCTCTCCAAGGGGGTAGTGGGGATCCGTAGGCATTCAGCCAGATCCACATCCATGAAATTGTCAGCGGCCCCCGAGTACACCAGCGCATGCATCTGGAGCGAGGTCTCGCCATATTGGAGGGTGACGTGCAGAAGGAGCCGATTGGAAAGGGCAGGGGTTGGAGGTGACCCAGGCTGAGCGACCCCGGGACTCAGTGGGTTCCTTCGTTTCCCGAACGGAGGGGGCAGTTCATGCGTCTGTGGTCGGGGGAACCACAATAGGCGCAGAGGCCCTCGCGCCACCGTCGCTGTCTCTCCTCCGGAGGAAGGTGGCCCAGTTGCATGGGCTCCTCAGTGGCAACGGGTCCGGGAGTAGGCGTGGGGGGACGAGGAAAAAGTCCAGGCGCTGTGGATGGGCGAATGAGAGGCTTGGGCCGAACCAAAACCCGCTGACCCATGCGCAACGCCAGATCCACAACTTCATCCAGGGTCTGGGGTAGCTCCTTTCCCACCATCTCATCCCGGATGTAGGTTGCCAGTCCCTCCAAGAAGACAGCTCGAAGGGCAGAGTCATCCCACCGCTGCTTGGCGGAGATGGTGCGGAACTCCGACGCATATGCGCACACAGAGCGCTCCTTCTGGCTGAGTTTTAGGAGTCGTGTCTCTGCCCCCATTTCGCTGCTGGGTGGAACAAAAGTCTTTCTGAGGGCGGCCACGAATGCAGCGTAGTCATTGCACTCCGGATTTGGAGATGTAGAGCGCAGCGGCCCACTCTGCCGCGCGTCCGGAGAGCAGGGAGTTGAGCTGTGCCACCCGAGAGCGCGCAGTGGGGAAGCGTCCTGGGTGGCACTCGAACTGCATGTCGAGGGTAGCAAGCAGACCGTCTGGACTCCCCGTCTCTCCATTCCACTTCTCTGGGAGACTAAAGTGTGGCTCTCCCGTCGGTGGAGTGAGGGCTTGCAACTGGAGCGCATGAACCTGCTGCTGGAGTGCCGTGACGGCAGTAGACATTTGCAGGGAGAGATCGGTCTGGGAGTTCAGCCTGGTGTTAAGCCGGTCGACCAGGGCGTGGAGCTGAATGTTCTCGCTAACAACCTGCTCCAACTTGCTCTTCATCTGCTCGAACTCCGCTGGATTAATGGACTCAGTCATTCTGTCAGACTCGAAGACTGGTTTCGGGAGTACGAGCTTTATTAGAGACTGATGGCTGCAAGCGGTGCTGGAAAGGCTGACGGAAGGATGAGGTCTGAGTTAGAAAGGTGGAGGTTCAGCTGTATTAGCTTCTGAATACTCTGATCATGGAACACGGTGGAACGATGACTGAGTGAAGAGCCGGTGTGGCGTCCTCCATATATAGACATGGATGACGCAGGTGCAACGTGGAGGGAATCCCCGTGAGGGGCATGCTGGGTAATGTGGTCAGAGACAGAAGCCGGTCAGCTGGGAAAGCCCGGCCTGGGGGCTTGGACTCTGGCAGTGACCTAAAATACATACATATAATTTTACTTACTGAAAAAAATCAAGTGGAGACTCCTTGGATGCTCTATTAGTGCAATTAATGCCACAGCAAGTCATTTTGTCCAACAATTGCACAAATAATATCCAAAACAGAATACACAAACACAGAGACTCAAAATCCCGGAAAAATTTCCAAGCCAGACCGAGGCTCTACTGAGGCCTTTCGGTCACGTGGGTCTGATGCTCATTAATTATACGTAATTTTAGGCTTTTAATACACTTAAACAGAAGAGTGAGAAAAAAATTCACCCCCCTCAGAGTTGTCATGAGTGTAAACTAGATCATTTAAACCAAAAACTTGTTTTGGTACCAGGCTGTAAACATGTTTATTTCTGCTGTGAAATTGGTATTTTTAACATGGGAGTCAATGAGGATTTGCTCGCTTCTGACACCAGCCCCCAGCGGATGAGGGTGGAACTGCAATTTTTGGTACTTCCGGGTTGGCCTCAATTTTTGAGCCGCATTGTGGGGGCTTGGTCATATCTCAAGTTCAAGATCTCTAACTGGCCCCAGGGGAAACCATTATCTCATTTGATGTCATTTCTCTCTTCATTAGACAGCATGGGATAAACTTCCACTGTTATGCTGACATACTCAGTTATATTTATCCATTAACCCTGATGAACCTAATCGGTTGGATAGATTACAGGCTTGTCTTGAGGACATAAAAAATTGGATGACTCTAAACTTTTTGATTTTAAATCAAGACAAGACGGAAGTTCTCATCTTTGGACCAGAAATCCAGAAAAGGAAATTGCTTAGCCAGTCGCCTGACCTGAATGGCATTACATTAATCTCCGAGAACAAAGTAAGGACCCTTGGTGTTATCTTTAACCAGGACATGTCATTCAATTCCCAGGTTAAACAGGTTTGTAGGATTTCCTTTTTCCACCTTCAGAATATTGCTAAGATTAGAAGCATCCTTTCCAGGAGTGATGCTGAAAAACTAGTTCATGCATTTATTACATCAAGACTGGATTACTGTAATTCTTTACTCTCAGGAAGTCCACAGAATGTAGTTAAAAGTCTTCAGCTTGTCCAAAATGCTGCAGCTAGAGTTCTGATGAGAATTAAAAAGAGAGATCATATCTCTCCTGTCTTAGCTTCCCTACATTGGCTACCTGTTAAATTCAGAATAGATTTTAAGATCCTTCATCTCACATATAAAGCTCTTAATAATCAAGCTCCAACATACATCAGTGTTCTGATTGTTCCAAATGTTCCTAACTGAGCACTTCGCTCTCAGACTGCAGGTTTACTGGTGGTTCCCAGAATATCTAAAATTAGGATGGGAGGCAGATCTTTTAGTTATCAGGCTCCTCTCCTGTGGAACCAGCTTCCAGCTTTAGTCCGTGAGGCAGACACCTTGTCTACTTTTAAGAATAGGCTTAAAACATTTTTATTTGATAGGGCCTATGGTTAAAATCCGATGTTAGCCTAGATCTGGACAAGTGGGGGAGTAGAGGGAGGTGGAGTGTACAGTCAGTAAAGACGGCTCTCCCTTGCCCTGCCTCCATCATGCCTCCATCTAAATAGGATAGATTATCCTGAGTTACCTCTTTAGTTATGCTGCTATAGGCTTAGACTGCTGGAGGATACACTGACCACTTTCCACACTCTACTGCTTTCTTCTACTATCTGCTCTTTAACTGTATTATTTCCTGCAATTTCAGCTGTTAACTTTATTTTCTCTGTAAGTGTTTTTCTCCCCAGAAGAAGCTACAACGATGTTCTGCTGAGCTGTGGTGGCCTCATGGAGGGGGCCATCGACTAGCACACTGCTGCTAACCACTTAAACATTCTCCTTCTCCTGATAATAACTTTTGGCTTTCCTTCACGTTGGATGTGCTACTACTAGTTTACCCGTTTAATTATAGATTCACTAGGATAAATACAATAAAGTTTATCTCTCACCAAATAGAATATTTACTAAGACATCACAATATAACTATAAACACATTACTTGTCTTTGTGTGTGAGTGTGTGTGTGCGTGCGTGCGTGCATGTGTGTGTGTGTGTGTGTGTGTGTGTGTGTGTGTGTGTGTGTGTGTGTGTGTGTGTGTGTGTGTGTGTGTGTGTGTGTGTGTGTGTGTGTGTGTGTGTGTGTGTGTGTGTGTGTGTGTGTGTGTCTGCTCTGTCTTCTTGATCCCCAGTGAGTCGTGGAGGATGGCTGCTTATACTGAGCTGGGATTCTCTGGAGGTTTCTTCCTGTTAAAAGGGAGTTTCCCTCTCCACTGTCGCTTTATCAGGGTGTCCGCGGGGTTTTAAAAAGTATTAAAAAGTGATAAATAAAAATAGTCAAATTTAAGGCCATTAAAAGTGTTAAATTTGGTCTCAGAGGTATTATTTTTTCCAAATTAGGTATTATTTTTTTCAGACTATCAGATGTCGTATTCTGAACATCGACATAGAAATATATTCCGAATGAAATGTTTTGAACGATTATAAAAACAAAACAAGCCGATTATTTGCTCCTCCCACTTGCGCTGCCTTGAGTTGCAAATGAAGCGCTCCTCCCAGTGTTGCCAAGTTAACTTAGCGACTTTGACACTATTTCTAGCAGCTTCTCAGACCCCCTTCTTGACTTTTTAACTTAAAAGTACCTAGCGAACATCTCAGAAACATCTCTGGTAACCCTTAGCTACTTTCTGGATAACTGTCGTCGACATTTCCTGTAGGTTAGCTAAACACTCCGCCTGCACTCCGGACCGTTCTTCAGGACATTAGGAAAGGGAATGATGTAGTGATGTGTCAGTCGCTAAAGAAACAGCTCTCGGAGCCGACTCTCTGTTGGAGTAACCAGAGTGAGTGACACACACACCGCACCTGCGGACTCCTGAGCCGATAAAAACAGCTAAATGTGCGCGTGTGGCGCGCTAAACACACGTGCAGCGTGCCCCTGATTGCTGTGAGACCGGGTTGGGGGTGGGGGTGCAGCTGTGGTTGGGACAATTATTACATTAACTGATGGACTTGTAAATAAATAGTTTATAAATAAGGTAGAAATAAGTTCCTCACGCTGATAAATAACTAATCTCTCTGAGGACACGGTGCTAGTGCACTCCTACAGCACCTTGACATGACTCAATAAATGCTATGCAACATTTAGTGAACAGCAATTTGCATGTATTTGTTATAAATGCCACTGTATAATTCTTGCTGTCAGTATTTGCAAGATGTTGGTATTTGGGTCTGTACTGGTTAGACTGAAATGAGTTAAACCAAGGTCTATAGCCCTTGGGTCATAAACTATGAGCTATAAGTATATTGGTCTTTTTATACTGGGAATCAGGAGTTATTTTAGTGATCATCTTGTTTCTTGTTTATTTTTGCCCTGATTGTGCCCTGAGCAGTTTTATGACTGAATAAAAATAAAAAAATAAAAATCTACATAAATTGAAAAATCGTCTTACATAATCGAGATCTCAATTTCAGTCACAATAATCGTGATTATTGTTTTTGCCATAATCGAGCAGCCCTACTTTAGCATATCCGGTCACATAATGATGACGTCATATTCAGTGGTCGTTGTGCATCATTTCAGGCCTCGTGGTCAACTGTCTGAACCGCTGAACAGAAGTGCCTGGCTTATTTTCTAAGTAAAATAAATATGTGCAATACGTTGTCAACATCAGTGAGTCTCTAAGTCTATTCTTTTTGAATGTTATATATGTTAAAATATTTGTAAATAGGTCGCTGATTAACACTTGCAATTTAGTGTTGTGATGGTTTTAAAAAAATTCTGAAGGTAGTAAAAAAAGTATTAAAAAGTAGTAAATTTTACTTAAGGATTGCTGTATATACCCTGTTTATGCTTGCTTAGTATGAGAATTGCTGTAAATTGCTTGATGCAATTTGCTGGGTTCCTTATATAGGAAACATTATTTCTGATTGGCTTAATGAACTGACCTGAATTGGAATGTTTATTATGTGAAGTGCCTTGAGACGACTCTTGTCGTGATTTGGCGCTATATAAATAAACTTGAATTGAATTCACATGTACACCCACAGATGAAGCAGTGGAAGTAGATAGGAAATGGCTGGAACAAGATGATTCCTTAAACGAGAGGACAAAACTGAGTCCAGACCAGATCTGTACCCTCCTTGACCTCTGCCTTTCCACTACCTATTTCAAACACAACGAAAAGTTTTATCGGCAAAAACATGGATGCGCCATGGGCTTCTCAGCATCACCTATCGTCGCCAACATTTACATAGAGTCAAAGCCTTGGACGCCTACAATGGAACATCACCAAGCCACTGGTTCAGGTATGGGAGGAATTTTGACATGAGTCAAAATTCTCACGAAGGAAGGAGAAGACTTTATCAAGCACAAAAATGCCGTGGACAAGAACAACAAGTTCACCAGGGAAGTTGCCCACAACAACCAACTACCCTTCTTGGACTGTGATGTACAAATTGAACAAGATGGAAGTCTTAGCACCGAAGTCTACAGGAAACCAACTCACACAGACCAGTATTTGCATTTCAACACACATCACCACTGGAGCTCAAAATGTCAGTCATCAGGACTTTACAACATCGGGCTGAGAACATTCCCACATAGACTGAAGGAACGCTTTCCAAAAGTGCAGATACCCTAACTAGGCCTTTGTGAAATCAACAGTCTGGAAAAGCATCCAAAGCAGCAACTAGTAAAGAAAAGGACAACAGATGCAAAATCATTGCTATCCCATTCGTGGCAGGAGTCTCAGAAAAATTTTGAAGATTTTTCTGCAAACACAACATCCCGGTAAACTTTAAACCCAATAACACTCTCAGACAGAAACTGGTAAATCCAAAAGATAAAACACCCAAACAGAAGGTTAGTGACATTGCTTATGCAGTCCAATGTGGTGAGGACTGTCCAGATCTTTACATTAGGTAAACTAAACAACTTTATTTTTTCTTTTGCTTGTGGCACTCACAGAGCACAGACGCTTCTGCTTTGCTCCCTTATCTTTTTTTCCCAAGGCTCTTTTGTCCTGTCTGCCTACAGAGCGCTTCTCTGCATTTCCTCTGGAAATCACTATTTTTCAGAAATGGATTTAATTAATTGGTCATTCAAGATTTTTTCTACGATGAGAACAGAGGAGGGGCCTCACACTTGCCCTCATGGGACACACGCAGCGGGATATATGCTCGATTCCTGGAAGGAGTGGAAGGTCGTCTGTCTCTCTCAGCTGTCCATTGAGGACGTCGAAGATATGTGGATATTTGGCCTGATGATCACTGGATTTCTTCTGATTGGAGTGGGAGGATATCTGGTTTTCCGAAAAATTGGGAAGACGGGAGCGATTGGAGGGCGACCCACACCCATGGACAGCACCGTCCGGGCGGAGACCTCACAGACTGGGATGTTACTCGAGGTGAATCGTAAGCTGGACAATGTCTTAGCTGCGTTACCGGTGTTAGTGTGCAAAATGGATGTCATCTCGGAGAGGGTCACCGGACGGTGTGGAGATGTTTAATAACCCGAATTGGCTTCACTGAAGGACTGGAATGACCAGTTACAGACTGAAGGCAGAGGGAAAATTATCTCTGCCTGACCCAAACACAGTCTTGTTATCCTAATCTGACGCCAAGGCAGCCTTGAAGCTGCTAAAAACAACCCCCACGAAGGAAGGAATGCAGACAGATGCTGTGGAAACCAGTCCTACCCCCCGCCTTCAGATTGTGGACTTCATAGCGAGGCCATCAACCTGCTGGAAATGTGCTCTAAGCTCCTCCCAAGATCTCTCTCCCTCCTATGGATACAGCTGGCTGAGCGCCACACATGGCTGCTGGCCCTGGATAAACAGGGACCCCCCACAGAGAGTCATGTTGTGAATGTTGATGTTCGTGCTTATATGTTTGAGGTGATTTTTTTTTTGTGCATAGTACCACTACGCCCTGTCGGGAGTAACTCTGGTATGCCTTTTTTCCCTCCCCAAACTTATCCTCATGTAATTCCCTTCTCATCTATTAAGGTAGCGCGACTCGTGTTGCGAGTGACCGTAGTCACCAATTCTTGTCATGTGTCTTGCCTATGTATGTCTGAGCTCTGAATTGTTTGTACTGAAACTCAACTTCGTTTCTCTGTATGTCTTGCACATGTGGTAGAAATGACAATAAATGACAATAAATAAATGACTTTGACTTGAACTACACAAAAGCATGGCACAACACAGGAGAACCACCTCTTTAGGTCAAGACTCTGCAGTCCACTTACATCTGAAGGACAAGGGACACATTCTGAAGATGACAAAGTAGAACATTCTGGACAAAGAAGATGGATGATTTGAGAGAGGAGTAAAGGAAGCTATCCATGTCAAAACATGAAAACCTAGCCAGACTAGCCAGCCCCATGCTACCTTGTGGGAAGCACTGGGTCTGGGAACCCTTCTATTCAAATAACCCCACCCCCTTTGAATTCTAATCGAGCCAATCAGTGCTGAGCAGCATATGTCACACAACAGAATGCTGAGTTTCTAATAAACAACAAAGATGGCACCTGAAGCACAGTTTGCCGCGGCTCTTTCCTCTGTTCCAAATTACTTGAACATGTCTTTAAAACCATAAGAAGTAGAAGCGCTAAAAGCCTTTCTTCTAAAGAAAGATGTTTGCATCATTGCCAGATGCCATTTTTGACTGCAGCTAAAAAAAACTACAGCGTTGCAGATGTCAAATACCGCGAAGCAGTTTCTCATTAACAACGAACACAGTGGCGGAGTTCGGTGCAGCTCTTTCCTCTGTTCTAAATTACTTGGACATGTCTTTAAAACCACAAGAAGAAGAGCTAAAAGCATTTCCTCTTAAAAAAGAAGTTTCCGTTATCGCCAGACACCATTTATGACTACAGCTAAAACACTACAGTGTTATGCAGTACAGTTGGCATTTCCGCCTTTTTTCTGATTGGTCATTTTTGAGCTGAATAGTCCCGCCCTTCATGTACTTCTCTCCCTGTGAGTAACCAGACTAGTTCTCTGTGTAGAATTAAACAGAGGACAAGACTGGCAGAACAGGCTATGAAAAACCTACTTTAAATTGGGGAGGAGGGCTTAGGTTTCACCTTTCCAGCACCTACATTGCAGCTTTAAATCTCATGCCTAAGCAGTTTCAGTCTAGGCCACACCTTCCTGCATCTGATCAACATTACTCCTTCACAATAGAGGCAAATTTCTCATCGGGGGTAGAGAGGAGGGTTTATTCAGAGTACTTTCTTCTCGTTAAATAACAACCAACAGCTACAGCTTATTAGCTTGACTCTCCCATATTCCAGTCAAAATTGTCAAAGCTCTTCAGATGAAAAGCGAAACATCTTCAAAGAAGTCCAGTTGCCTTCATTTGAACCCTTTTGCATTACCATGACCTGAATGACTGAAAACCTTCACCAGCATATCTCACATAATTGCAACAGATTCCAGAAACTTTTGTATTTTGGTATTGTTGGACCTATCGGCTGCTGTGGATCATTGTCTCCTGATTTCTAGGATGGAACACTTTGTGGGTATTTTCTTGGTCGCGCTGGATTGGTTTGTGTCGTACCTGGCAGACAGAACCTTCAGTGTCTCATTGGGGAATTTTACTTCCTCTAAATTTTCATTCTCTTGCGGGGTTCCCCAGGGTTCTGTGTTGGGCCCATTGTTGTTTTCTTTGTATCTGCTACCTCTTGGTTTGATTTTTAAGAAACATGGGTGACAATTTCACTGCTATGCAGATGATACCCAGGTATACGTGCCTTTTAAGAGGGGCCACAATCATGCTTTGCAGTCTCTGTTAGATTGTCTCATTGAGGTTAGGTAATGGATGTTTTCTAACTTCCTTCATTTTAATGATAAAAAGACAACGGTTGTAGTTTTTGGTTCAAGTACTTTTTCTAGGGTGGTTGCAGTGAACCTTGGTCAGCTTGCCCCATTCTTGAAACGGTGTGACTTCCTTGGGTGTTGTACTGGATGGGGATCTTGTCTTGGACAGGCAGATCAGTGCGGTGATGAGATCTAGTTTTTATCAATTAAGAAGGATCGCCAAAGTAAAGACCTTGCTGTCAAAAAATGATTTTGAAACAGTAAGTCATGCTTTTATTACATCAAGGCTTGATTACTGTAATTCTTTGTACCTTGGTGTTTCACAATCCCAGCTCTTGTGTCTACAGTTGGTGCAGAATGCTGCTGCATGGCTGCTCACTGGGACGAAAATGATGGAGCATGTTACTCCTGTCCTGGCCTCACTGCACTGGCTGCCTGATTGTTTCTGAATCCAGTAGAAGATGCTTTTATGGGCTTTTAAATCTTTGCATGGCCTTGCTCCAGGTTACCCCTCTGAGCCACTGGTTTTTACTCCCCTACACAGTCTCTGAGGTCAGCTGATAGGATGCTCCTGTAAGTCCAAAAACAAGACGTAAGCTCAGAGGTGACGGGGCTTTCTCTGTAGCGGCCCCTAGGCTCTGGAATGTTCTGCCTTTGAGCATTAGGTCGGTCTCTTCGCTGTCTGGTTTTAAATCTCTTTTGAAAACCTACTTTTATGATTAGGTTTTAACTCAGCATGAGAGTCTTTTGAGTGTTAGTCCTTAAGCTTTAGTTTGTATGCATTTTTATGTTGTGTTTTTTTTAAATGTTTTTAATTTCTGTAAAGCACTTTGTGTCAGACGTGCTGGAGTGCGAAGCAGAGGTAAGGATCCAAACACGGGTGAAGAAGGCAGGCAGACAGGAATGGTTAAAGGCTTTAATGATAAACACGCTGACACAGAAACAATGATCCAACACGAGACACAAAGCAGAAGAGGTTTAAATACAGGAGGGCTGGGAGCTTGGGTGATTGGGAAACGAGAGGCAGGTGGGAGGAATTAACAGAGACACAGGACTAAACCAAAAGGGGACAGGACAAGGTGTGACACTTTGGTCGGTTTTATACTGTTGTAACGTGCTATACAAATATCGCTGCCTTGCCTTGCCATATAAAATTAAAATTTCACGACCAACTCATGTCCTAAGATGAAGAATATAAATTATGCAATGGCTCTTATAATTTTGAACATTTTTATTTTCTGTGCAGAATGGTAATCCACAGAACCCATACTGCAATGGCATTGACGGTGTCCTAGAGGCCTATTACCAGAGTCTGAAAAGTGTTCGTCTCTACGGACCCACACACTTCTCTCCCGTTATTAACCATGTGGCCAGGTAAGTCTGCTGACAAGTCTCAGTACAAGGAGGACTGAATTGAGCTGATAACTTTAATTGATTGATTTGTTGGCTGTGCACTAGTGGTGAGCTATAGTCAGATGTGAGAAGGTGATTTATATCCTGCACTGAGCTGAAGAAACAAAAAGGAACAGTTGTGTGTACATGTCACACTTTATGGGTTCTTCTAGAGATGTGAAGAAGATCTAAACCTGACTGAAGCTCAGCTTTTGAGTATCTTCTATTGAAGCAACAATAGGATGATCTGCTGCTCTGCAGTTTTAAAATATTTAAAACAGAAAACACACTCTGTGTCAGTAGCAATTTCTTAATTTACACATATAACTACTGACAGAAAGTTCTGTGCTGTTCTGTAATACAATTTCTTCCAACTCCCACCTGACATCCCCCAGTGCCAGATCTCATCTCGTGATTCTCCAGACTGACTGTAACAAGCACTTTCCCACCTCTCATCATCGGCTTTCAAATCCTATCTCTCTCCTGCAAGCTCCGTCCACCCACTCAGCCTGAGAATAGCTGCATTGTTTAGCGTTCACTTCTGAGGAGCATCTGAATGCAAGCCAGGAACGATGCTGGCCAAAAAAGTGACACTGTGTCACGTCAAATTCCTGAGCGCCTGGCCGTTTGGTGTAAGAATGTTGATAAACTCGAAAAACATTGTCCTGTTAGATCACTTCAAACGCTGATCCTCTTTGTATGTAGAGCACAGAAGCTCTGTTTAAGTTTGGAGATGAATTAACTCGACCTGACTTACAAGATGTCCGCTTGAGTCATAAGCACTGCATTTTACAGTTTTATTTCCTGTAAACGTGAAAGGCCTGTACTAAATCTATGTCTGTGTCCTATGTTCCTTGTTCACTTGTTCATTATTTGAAACTTTTCCACAATAACTGCTGAGCAGAATGATGTATTGAAAGCAATGTCATGTAAAACAGTCTATAAATGTGGAAAGTATTAAATTTAAAACAAGTTATGTGCCCGTAAATGCTTAAATAAACTTCTATAAAAACTTTGTATGGATAAAAACACAGATTTCAAACTTCAAAATGACACAACACACTCAGCACACACTCTAGCCTAATATATACTTCTCCATCAGCTCAAGTGTGGAGTCGCGCACACACATTGACGGAGATGTTTTCTCTTCGGACTACTCCGTCACCTGGAGAGCGTTGCAAATCAATTCCCCACCAGGACAACAGAGAGCGTAGTGCTTTTCTGGGGTATCCTGCCACCATTACCATCATGTATCCAGTTCAACATGGTTTGATTACTACTGTATTTACATAGTTTGAATGGATTTCAGAGACTTTTTTGACACAGATTAAATTGTCCCTCATTCTCCTCTACCTCTTCATGCGAGTGCCACCTCTAAACATGTTCTTGTCCTTTCCCGCCACGAATAAAATGCTTGCTTCGTGTCTTTGTACTAATTCAGTCACGGGTGATTAAACACTCAAATTAGGTAGTCTTTAATCTGTTCCACGTCTACAGTTAAATATCATTTTATCTTTTGAGAGGGCAATGGATTTGACAAATTGTTAGAGTTGGGCATGTCTCTGTCAGCCTCTGCGAACCTGTTGGAGAGCGCTTGCACTGAAGCATTATGGCGTGTGTCTCTGCACCAACGCAGACCAAGAAGTATAAATTAGGCTTTACCCTCACCCCTTCGCTGCACACCACACAGCACATTAATGCTTTTCAGTTTGAAAAAACATCTGGACACTAAAATTAAAAGGAATTTAAAATACTTAGAATAAAAAACAGCTACAAAATGTTAAAATAGATATATTAAAAGCCAAGCTAATAAGGAGCTGGCTCTTGGTATGTGGAATGTCACCATCCTGGTGAGGAGGGAGCCTGAGTTGGTGTGTGAGGTTGAGAGGTTTCGACTAGATATAGTCGGACTCACCTCAACGCGTGGCTCTGGCTGCGGAGCCAGTTTCCTTAAGAGGGGCTGGACACGCTACCACTCTGGAGTTGTCCTCCCACTGAGAGGCACTGGGCAGGGGTGGGCATACTAGTTGCATCCCATCTTTGTGCCTGTACTTTGGGATTTACGCCGGTGAATGAGAGGGTAGCCTTCCTCAGTCTACGTGCGGGGGGATGGATGCTGACTGAAGTCTGTGTTTATGCACCAAACTACAGTTCAGACTACCCACCTGTTTTGGAGTCCTTGAAGGGGGTGATGGAAAGTACTCCTTCTGGTGACTCCCTCGTTCTGCTGGGGGACTTTAACACTCACGTGGGCAACAACGGTGAGACCTGGAGAGGTGTGGTTGGGAGGAAAGGCCCCCCGATCTGAATTCGAGTGGTGTTTTGTTATTGGACTTCTGTGCCAGTCATGGATTGTCCATAATGAACACCATGTTCAGACATAAAGGTGTCCATGTGTGCTCTTGGCACCAGGATACCTTAGGCCGCAGCTCGATGATCAACTTTGTTGTCATCCCATCTGATCTGGGGTTGAATGTCTTGGACACTCGGGTGAAGAGAGGGGCGGAGCTGTCAAATGACCACTACGTAGTGGTGAGTTGGCTTCGATGGTGGGGGAAGATGTCGGTCAGACCTAGCAAGCCCAAATGTATTGTGAGGGTCTGCTGAGGGTCTCCTGTCAGTAGAAGTTTCAATTCTCTCCTCCAACAGAACTTCCAAAATGTTCCGGGGGAGGCGGGGGACATTGAGTCAGAGTCGGCCATGTTCTGTGTTTCCATTGTCAAGGCGGCCGACCAGAGCTGTGCCCGCAGGGTTGTCGGTGCCTTTCGTGGTGGTAATCCCTGAACCCGCTGGTGGACACTGACAGTTATGGATGCCGTCAAGCTGAAGAAAGAGTCCCATAAGGTATTTTTGAGGCAGCTGATGGGTACAGGCAGGCCAAGCAGAATGTGGCCCGGGTGGTCACAGAGGCAAAAACACGGGCATGGGAGGAGTTTGGCGAGACCATGGAAGACTTCCATATGGCTTTGAGGAGATTCTGGTCCACCATCCAGCACCTCATAAGGGAAAGCAGTGTGCTACCAACACTTTTTATAGTGAGGACGGTGTGCTGCTGACCTCGACTTGGAACGTTGTGGATCGGTGGGCAGAATACTTCGAAGACCTCCTCAATCTCACCAGCACGCCTTCCAGTGAGGAGGCTTTGGTTTGTGCTCTCCAATCTCTGGAGCTGAGGTCAATGAGGTTGTCAGAAATCTCCTCTGTGGCAAGGCCCTGGGGCTGGATGAGATCCGCCCAGAGTTCCTTAAAGCTCTGGATGATGTAGGGCTGTGTTGGCTGGCGCAGCTCTGCAATATCGAGAGGACATCAGGGACAGTTCCACTGGATTGGTAGACTGGGGTGGTCCCCCTATTTAAAAAGAGTGTGTTCCAACTACAGGGGGATCACACTTCTGAGCCTCAATGGTAAGGTCTATTCAGAGGAGGGTCCAGCGGATTGTCAAACCTCGGATTCAGGAAAAGTAATGTGGTTTTCGTCCTGGCCGTGGAAGACTGGACCAACTCTATACCCTTAGGAGGGTCCTGGAGGGTGGGTGGGGGTTTGACCAACCAATCTACATGTGTTTTGTGGATTTGGAGAAGGCATTTGACCGCATCCCTCAGAGGGCCCTTTTTGGGGGGGGGGGGCTGGACCTAACAGCCCTCTGATATGGGCTGTTAGGTCCCTGTATGAACAGTGTCAGAGCTTGGTCCGTATTGCCGGCAGTAAGTCGAGCTCATTCCTGGTGAGAGTTGAACTCCACCAAGGCTGCCCTATGTCACCATTTCTGTTCATAACCTGTATGGATGGGATTTCTAGGCTCAGCCAAGGTGTTGAGGGGATCGGTTTTGGTGGCCTATGGATTGAGTTTCTGCTTTTTGCAGATGATGTGGTCCTGTTGGCTTCATCAGAAGGTGATCTTCGGCTCTCATTGGAGAGTTTCGCAGCTGAGTGGGAAGCAGCTGGGATGAGAATCAGCTCCTCTAAACCCGAGACAAAATAGATACAAATACCATTTCTCACTAACATATACATTCATTTGTATATGGTGTCTATTTGGTATCTCATGACTGAATAGGTTTAGACAGAAGCAATAGCTTATATAATTGCCTAACCTACTAACAGAACAATTTTTCAATTTCCCGCAATAAAGCAACAACCAAAATAAAAGTAAAACACAAATCCATCCATCAACATCAAATTAATACTCTTCAAAAATATTTTTACTGATAAGTTTTTTAAGAACTGAAAGAGAAGTTGCTAATATTAATTCTATTTTAGCCTCATTCCAAAATTTTACTCCCATTACAGAGATACATCTCCTTTTCATGCCCTTTTTGGCTTTTTGTAAAACAAACATACATACACCTCTGAAATCATATTTACTTTCCCTCTTTGCAAAAAACATTAGTATATTTTCTGGCAGAGCTGTTAATTTTACTCTAAACATAAATTGCATTATTTTATAATAATATAGATCTTCTAATTTCATAATCTGTGATTTTGAAAACAACGGGTCAGTATGAGCATAATAATTGCTCTTGTTTATAACTCGAATAGATTTCTTTTGTATAGTTTTTATTTCATGTATATATGTTTTAAAAGTTGAACCCCATATTTCTATACAATATGCCATGTATGGTTGTATTAGTGAACAGTATATTAGACGTAAGGCCTTATGGTGGGGGCAGCAGTAGCTCAACAGGTAGAGTGGGTTGTCCAGTAATCGGAAGGTTGCAGGTTGGATCCCAGCTCCGGACAGAGAAGTCTGCTGTTGTGTCCTTGGGCAAGACACTTAACCCCCCCTTGCCTGCTGGTGGTGGTCGGAGAGACCGGTGACGCCTGTGCTCGGCAGCCTCGCCTCTGTTAGTGCGCCCCAGGGCAGCTGTGGCTACATCGTAGCTCATCACCACCAGTGTGTGAATGTGTGTGTGAATGGATGAATGATACACTGTAGTGTAAAGTGCTTTGGAGTCCTTACTCTGAGAGGCGCTATACAAGTG